TTATTCTCGACCATAACCCAATCCAAAAACACGTTAAAATTGTGCAGCAGCAGGATTCCAGTCAAACCAGTGAGTTTGGCGGTTTTGAGACATCATCTTTCATTAAAATACCTTTTTCATTTTGCCGACGCGCATGGCTACGGCGACGCGCGCGCATACCAGAAACCAGAGACTTTTTTGGCCTAATAAGTCACAAGCACATTAAACAATGCGTCGCCCGAGCTGTTTAGATTGTAACACGTGTTTAAATTTTGTTATACCTATGTCCATGTACTTTGAAATGTCAGGGGTAAGCATTCCTCTGTGAAATATTGGTCGGTTGACAGCTCAAAATAACAGTTATTCATTTATTTTTAATCTCCAGAATCACCTCTGCTGTTCCATGAGCAAACTTCTGTCAGCAAGGTGCCTCTGCCGTGCCGCTCTTGTAGTGTTATTTTCGGTTACGTTTGCTAGTGGTAAGTTTATTTAAAAAAAAAATACCTGTAAATAAGTTGCCGTCTTTTGTATTATGTTGGAATTCCATCCAAATGCAATTTTACCGCTTATGTCGATTCCCTATGACAAATAGTAATTTGTGTGTTTTTTTGGCATGCATTTTTTTGGTACAGTTGGTTTATGGATGCATTCCAAGACGCTACTTGATGTGACTCGCGGGGTGCCGCCAGAAAGTTTAAATGAAACATCGTTCTTAAGACATGAGGCCGAGTTCGAGAAGCAAGACCACCTGTTGACTGTCAAACCGTCATCACGTGCATCTTCCTTTGCTGACGAAGTTCGAGCTCTGGCCAAGGCCTTACCAGAGCGGAAGATTGTCCTGACCACAACCAATTCGGGATTCCTAGATTTCACCCAGAACATGCTGTTGAGCATCCAGCGAGTCGGGATCCATCCGGAAGTGGTTGTGATTTGCGAGGATACGACAACTTACAAGACCCTGCGGCTCAATGATTCTTACGGAGTCCACGTTTTGAAACCCCCCAATGCCATTCCTGAGGCGGGAGAAGCGCTCAGCTTTGGCGTACATGACTACGTCACATTTATCAACAACAGGCCCAAGTATACACATGAGTTCATCAAGCAAGGCTTCGAGGTCTTTTTCATCGATTCAGACACTTTCTGGTTCAACGACCCGTTTCCGTATTTCAAAGGGGACCAGTACGACGTTGCCTTCATGAGGGATTACCGCAGAGTTTTCAATGCTGGGGTAGGGTTCTACCGACCCACCAACCGCACCGAGTACTTCTTGCGATTCTGGATCTGGATCCTGGAGACCCAGCCCAAGCACAGACAAGACCAGCACGTCTTGAACTACCTCCTCTCCTCCAAGCTTAACGCTGGCATCAAGGTCAGATCTCTGAGCTTCCAAGTTTTCCCGACTGGCAAGATTTTATACGACTGGGATCATGAAGTATGCAGAAACGTCACCAAGAAAACGACATTCTTTCACGCTGCATTTATACCCAACCATGACAACAAAAAGAAAGTCTTTGACATCTGTAAGATATGGCTACTGAATTGAATCACACCCCCCAAAAGGGGGGTCTAACAAAATACGGGTGACACAAATTAAATCGCACACGACAAGTGATCATACACTATTGAATTCGGTATTCCTATTGTTTTAAATTAACACTAATAAAAAGATAGGAAAGAATTCCATAACTTGACACCCTTGCACGAACCCTATGAGACTGGTCTGAAAAATACTTTTAGGACATGTTATCGCTTTCTGATGGGTGATAGGTCACTGCAGGGGAAACTTAGTGATGTCCATGTATGGAATTCTTTCCAAAAGTTGTATTTTTTCCTTTAGTTTGTATGGAATCTAACGCTCCAATAAAAAAAAGAGGTATTAGGTCTAGAGTACTAAATATATCCCTATGTTCCTTTCTGTTTCAAGCAAAAACACGGAAAACAAAAACGGAAAAGTGTGTTTTCCTTTACATACTTTTTGAAATTTATGTACATTAATGTTATGCATAATTTATCCAAATTATGTGGATGTAGGTTATAAGTTACACTGTGTATAAACTTTACTTTACATGTTTATATTACAGTTTATTATAATTCATGTCGTTATAAAGTTTATTGTTTTCGTTTCGTTTGTGAAAGGTCTCTCATATAATTTGAACAGAAAGTGATTTGTGATATTTGTTGACCCCAGATAAAGAAACACACTTAAACTTAGTTGGCGGTTTGTGTTTGCATTTGTTAATTTCCATCAGGAGTTTGCATACTATATGGTTAAAGGGAATGTACAAAATTTGCTTGTGCTGCAATTTTCAGAAATAAATGGATTTGGAGGATTAGTATAGGAGCCACAAATTTACAGGATGCTATAGACTGTCATTCCCTAACAATCCAGAAAAGTATTACGTGATAATTTGATCATTTCGTTTTTTTGATGTTTGCAAATGTTGTATCTTCCCTTTAATATAGAACTAATATGTGCTCTCCATGGCAAATATATCAAGAGTATCCTTCATAAGATGGATTTTTTTCTAAGAGTATCCTTAGGCCTACCCCTTTGGAACTAGAACAAACGGTTTCTCAGAATTACAGAGTAAATGAAATAAATGAAACGTAGGAAACATTAAGAAATGGTACTGTTTTAGAAATGAGAGGATAACACACATGGGCGACGCCAGGATTTTTCTAGAGGGGTCAAAGCACATTATTTCCCCAAATCCTTGTACTTTCTCTGGCATATTCTCAATGTATCAATTTTTCGAGGGTGGGCGGGGGGGGGGGGGCGGGGGGGGGTATTTGCCCACTGCACCCCCATTGACACCCCTGTGGACGCCCATGTCGCTAAATGTACACAGCAATATGACTTCGCCCCTCGTCTTCTTTTTTTCCCTCTGGTTTTTTTTGGGAGGCTTTTCCGGGGGGGGGGGGTGCCCCGTCTCCCATCCCTTGCGACGCCCATGATAACACAGGATTGACTCACATATTGGCAAACATTATTATAATGGTGACAAATTATTTGTTTCATCCCCATGAGTGAAAAACAAAACAAACTAGAGGTTCGCGTTTGTTGTTACAAACGCAGAGTGGTCGGGTAGACAACCATTTCATTAGACATTGTCCAATTAAGTTATGAATATGTTTGTCAGAAAAAAAGGACCAAGAACTTCAACATTTCCAGTACCAATAATTTTTTTTACAAAAAGAATGCGTCTTTTAAGGTGTGATAAATTTCAGTAAACAGTTTGAGTACAAGTTATTTCCGGTTTGATGGCGTCATCAGTCAAAACAGGGAAGGGAGGACACTTGTTTATCATTAAGTAAAAATAACGCATGGAAATATGGAAATTAAGTGTATGTAATAATAACAGCTAACTTCCAGTTTGATTACGTCACAGTATTTGGAAGCAAAAGGTCAATATAAAGTGTAACAGATGTCATTTTTTTTTGGGGGGGGGGGGCAAAAAACAAAGTCATGAGACAGGGATCAAATGATGGATTTAACTTTACACATAAAATGGTCATTGTTGAATTCTCCCTACAGTAACTTCCGGTCTGATGACGTCATGATTATGAAACCTTGGAAATTCATTTGTGGTTGCTCACGGATATATAGGGGCAATTATATCATAAAAATTTGATTGAGGGTTTTAACATTTTAAAAGATTAAACTGTTTTCCATGTACCGCTGGAGGGCGCCCTTTCGTGGATGACGTCAAAATAATGTTTTTGTGATTGGCATTCCTCACTTAACACTTCCATAATGTATTTGTCTGTACGAAAATGCTTTCGTTTTAGAGTTAGATTCAGTTTCTATTGCACTTCCGGTAACACCGGAAGTAAAGGTCAAGCAGTTTTGTGCCCGGGAATAATAAATGTTGCTCAAGGCACCGTCTACAACCTCACGAAAAAACGAACACGATACCCTATTTAGTTCAAGAGATATAGGTCAAAGTATTTTGTCAAATCGTGCAATCAAATCGCTTGTAATTTGATACCTGATGACGTCATGATGACGTAACAACAGTTATAACATCTTCGTAACATGGTACAAGTTCACAGTAGGTTTTATGATCATACCGTAAACCGTGTGGAAGAAATTGTGCTTTGTTTTGATTTCAGGCTAAAGTCTTCATTTTCAATTCACGTAACTTTGACCTTCCGGTGGACCCGGAAGTAAAGGTCAAGCGAGTTCACGTACATGACAAAAAGTGTTGATCACCTCATGGTCTATCTGATTACAAAGTTGGAACATATTTGATCATTTTGTTTAAGAGTTATAGGTGAAAGTATTTGGCTCTTTTTTCCTCTAAAATCGCTTGTAATTTGACACCCGATGACGTAATCGTGACGTCAGAGTAATATGCACCACTTCGGATGAGGGTCGATATATATTGAAAGTTACAAGTTCATACCATATACCGTTTAAGAGAAAACCCGCGGAGAAGTATTGTCCGGAAAAAAAAAGAAAGAAAGAAAGAAAGAAAGAAAGATTAATCGTAACAGATCCAAAGAGTGGTCGGGTTGTGCCCGACCACTCAATTATGATAGCCTTTTCTGATGAGTAGCTTAATATGTATTTTTAAAGAAGGTATACCATTATACACGTTAATCTCATGGTCTTCTAACGAGGGGATAGTAGCATGGTGCCCACATCGTAATTTCCATATCCGACACCAGATTTTCCTAAAATTTGACGGGAATGCTGGTTGGATATAATATACGATATGGCATCATTTGATTGCGCTGTATTTAACCAATGAGGGCGCCTTACTGCATTTTCGCCAATTTTTGGTCAAAGACCGTTTTTCAAGTTGGCATAATATCTTCATTTTTCATATTTACAGTAAATGAGAAAACTAAGCGGCTATTATGGCGGCCATTTTTGGATTCTTAGCATGCACGGGTGTATGCCCTCGCTGTAATGTAAAGGGGAAAACGCGTCCAGGCATATAGACGAGAATACAAAATGATCACTGAAGCGGAACTAGATTCTATAGGAAGACGCAACTTTCATGTCCGTTCCGAATTCCAACAGTTGACTGCAATTGTCAGCATGGTGAATACATTCGCCAGGTGAACGTGTGGTCGCGGATCGCGGAGTAAACAAGCTGCGTTTCCAATCACTTGTTTGGCTTCTCGCATTGACCGGAGGTCATGCAAAGTTTCGTCCGCCTATAGATCTTTCTAGTTACGATCGAACGATCATACCCACGTTGAGGAATATAGTTTCTTGACGAGATTCGCTAGATACTTCGATCACAGTGTACTGATTATAAGCGGAATCTCTCAATAAGGTAAGATATTTGTTATAGTAAAAACACCTCCCACACATACAACGGCGATCGTGTACAAACTGTTAAGTATCGATCAAATAGGCCCTAGAGTCAAGGGTGTTTTTTTATCATTTAAAGAAGACCTTTTCGATCTACAGCAGACTTTTCTCAATCATAACGACTTTTTTGGTGTAATTTTGAACAGTTTCTTGGGGTAGAAACAAGGGCGGATCCAGGGGGGGGGGCCAAAGGGGGCCATGGCCCCCCCCCCCCCCAAAACGAAACCAATTTTTTTTTTGTTTTATGTGACATCGCAATAAAGGCAGGCAATGAGTACACCACCATCTTTTCCTCAAAAAACATTGGTTAAAGTGATCAGAAATTGCCTCAGATCGCACCACAGAGCATCTAGAATCCAAAATTTTTTCGGGGCCCTTAAGCGGGCCCCGAACCCTACGCCGTAATTTTTTTTACCCACTTTTTGGGGGACCAAAATTTTTTTTGGCCCCCCCCCCAAAAAAATTGTGTTCTGGATCCGCCCTTGGGTAGAAATTACGATTTTCCAAAGCGGTTTTGGATGGTGCCGTGCGATTCAGCGCGGTGCGCGTTCACGGTGCTTCGCGGTGATCGCCATCTTTATGTTCGTGTTGCGTTTCGTCGTCATCATCGTCAGTTTTACCCCTAAATTTCCCTTAACAATTCACAGCCAAAAACAAAAACAAAAATGATATACATGTATATGCATGGTCTTCATGTCGCAAACTACATGTAGTTTGGTAAGTCAAATATTGTTCTCTTATACTAGAGGGAAACGTGCCCTCATGCATGGTTGCAGACCAGTAAATACATTTCTATAGACCCCAATGATAAATGCCCCAATATCAGAAATTCAGGAAAAATACTCGCAACTCTCCAAGGTTTTTGAGACGCACGTCAAATTAAAGCTTGTTTCATCGTCTTTCATTTTCTTTTCAACTTTTTGGGGGTAATCTGATTACTCTTGGGAGAAATTCCCATCCGAAGATGATCACCCCTTAAAATAGTCCTAAAGCCCGTCGCCATGTTGAAAAACGGTGTATACACTCCATTGCAAAATACAGCGCTTTTAGGGCCTCAATTTCATCCAAATTTCACAAAAATACAAGCTCACGGTCCCGTGCACGGCTTCTACCCTCATTTTATTTTTACAAAGTTCATGGCCCACAATGCATACAAATCGTCATCTGGCCGGCGTAGGCAATTTCGGACCGATTTACTGGTCTGCAACCTTATACATGTACACTACACGATCAAACGTACAAACGCCACTCACAGAAATCACAAGGCCATTTTTAGGACATCTGGGAACTGGAATACCGGTGCCGTACATGTAAGCCATATATATTCTGAAATTTAACAAATTCACCTCAACATATTCAACTTATAGCTTTTCATTTCAAAATTGTGACTTTTGTTTTTTTTTGGCATGAAGGCTGGGTCTCCATGCATGTTATGATCAACTCAGCCCTACCAACTCGCTCCCTGACCAACTAGCCCCTATGGCGTATGTCATTGCTTGAAACTTTCCCTTAGAAATTATTGCAGTTATCATTTTTTTTCTGTGAGAATTAGGTAACTCGATCGCTAAGGGGTCTTTGAAAAACGGCGTTAGAAAGAGATGCTTAATCGTACTTTTTTAAGCACTTTAATTGATTTACTGTTTTCATTGGCTTCTCACCTTTTTAACGTCATTGAATAACTTTTTTTAAAGTATTTAGAACCCTTAAGAATAGCAGTTCAAATAACTGAAAAGGATATCCTGTTGAAATAAAACTAGTACATGGGATATGTTTTTCGGTTCAGTTTTACGCCTTAAGGCCGTTTATACGGATGGGTAAATTACCGAAGCGTTGGGTTTGCTTTTGAGTTCAACTTTTTGGGAGTTTCGAGGAGCCAATACATGTACATGTATTTATCATTCGTTTGCATAGAGAAGACTAGCCCGAAAATTTGGGGCTCTAAATGCAGTTTGTGAGAGTCCCAAAACATAAGGTATTGAAAGCATGCAATATAAGAAACTAGACTGGGTCATGAAACAATCTGTCCAACATCAGTGGTACAGTGCATCAATAACCTACTTCTACACATTCTGTCCAGTCATGCCACCAGATACTGAATGGTCGATCATTTGACAAAATTTGACATGCATTCAGTCTAGTCTTTATAGCTTCAAATTAAAATCACTCGGCTTCACTCTCAGAGTGCAAAATGTTAAGTCTCCTTTACAACTTGAATTGAATGAGTACATGCATAGAATGAAAACATTAATCAGACATACATGACACAAACGTAGCTTTGCAAAACCATAGAGCTAGGACCCAAACTCCCAATAGGGGTAAAAGTATTTTCGTTAAAATTATCACCAAACGAATTGTCGTCATAAGGAAAAGTATTCCCTTCGAAACACGGAAAGTGTATCTTTTAATAACACCATGCAAGTCGCACAGCGTCTGATTACTAATAGTTGAAAGAATACACAAACTTGATGACTTTAAATGAAATTATCATCCAGGGGGCCAGTAGGTCAGGGGGCGAGTTGACATATCCGCAGACTGATTTGGAGAGAAATTAATAGATGTTTTCAACTGGAAATGAATGACCACGGATATTTATATTTACTCCGTGGGCCTTATTCACGAGTTGGCCATTTTTGTCGAGTACCCTGAATGTATTTCATTAATTGTTAACTAGTGAATGGGATGGCGCCAGACTATTTATGCAGGCACAATGCAGCCTTATTTTACTGTAATTTTTTTGGGTTTTTTAATATGGCTTTAAACATATTTGGGAATGTTTAATTACACATTTTTAATTATTCATTGAAGCAGACTGGAATTTATTATAAATTAAGTTGCTTTCATTTCTCTTCGCAAGTTCCAAAATTTAAGATTTTACCTAACTTTCAATTCAATATGGCCGACTGGTGAATAAGGCCCATGGTCTGACGTACCCGTTCAACGTGCCAACGAAAAATGGTGCACGCTATTGTGCAAAGTAACTGCCCGTGACGGATTACGTAATGCTCTGCGCGATTCCTTTTTGGAAGGCATCCTTACTATAGCCATATGGTCCGAGTGACCTCAAGCGATATTTTATTCATGACGCTTTGTGTTACAAATACCACCGACACAATAACCTGAGTCATCCCTGATAATCGATACGTATAGGCACACAAACCCTCACAAGTGTGTATTTGCCTGCATTGGGGGACCCCATATTGTCCCTCTTTTGTTTGTATTTAACTTTTTAGGAAGATCTCTCATATGTTTAATTTGTACACGATCGTCAATCGTGGACCTTCGGGAATACGGGCGATTCCCAATAGTGCGCCTCCAAGAGTTTACAACGCGTTGGCCAATCACAATGCGCGAAATCAGTCGACCTTTTCCAAACGCGCATTGGGTCGACAGATTTTGCGCATTGTGATTGGCCAACGCGTTGCAAACTCTTGGAGGCGCACTATTGGGAATCGCCCGTATTGGGATCCCTATGTCCTCTGTTGTTCAACGTCCCAAAACTCACACACACAGAAGTGTGTATTTGCCTGCAATCGGGGACCCCCCATTGTCCCTCTTATACTCTAACTTTTTAGGAAGACCTCCCATATGTTTTGTACACGATCGTAGATTGGGGCCCTTCGGGAATTGGGGACCCTATTGTCCTCTATTGTTCAACGTCCCCTATTGAATGCAGAAACAAACTCACACACCAACATTAGCGCCCATTGGCTAAACCAATGGTTCCTAACCTCGTTCCCATGGTGTCGAGCGGTACGCTCTCATCACTACCTGTTCTCTCACTTACTATTGGAAACGAGGTCGAAACTAAAGTAAGCCCTGGGGACGAGTTTGCAATGGTTCCAGTACTACTCTGTGTGCAGTGCTAGTGTCACGTGGTTTAGTTGAAATGACGCCCGTTTACGAACCGGGTACGTTTAAAGCACAGAGCGATATACACGTATACAGCAATGCGTCTACAACGGTCGCAATGCTTCTTTTTTTTTTTGCCTCTTTCCTATTGGACAAGAGGTTTCAGAAAAAAAAAGACGAATATGATAGCGTGCTCCGATTGCAATTGGTCTATGCACAATATAATTTCATATTCTGGCTGTGAATATTAAACATCTAAAATCATGATTAGGACGTATGCTCACCCGTTGAACATTGTGAACAAATCTGCGCATGTCCAGAGAAACAATTTAAATGTTTATATTCAGTCCAGAGAAACATTATTTTAGTCCCGAGAAATTAGACCTATGGAAAATGCCCAGTTCAGTGCTCCCAGGGATACAGTAAACAGGTTAAATTATACACGTCATGCAACCAGAAATAAATATATACACTTACCAAACTTTTGATTTTCACGCCCCCGCTAAAAAAATCATTCGTTTTCGGCAGGTGGTGCCAGAGTTTTAGAGTTACCGGCCCAAAGAGGCACAGTAGCACTCACCTCAGTCGACACTATATAATGGTCTGGCAAAGATCATAAAGATATTCTTTTAATTTCTTTCCAGGAGGAATATTGACCATACAGTCATACAGGCTCCCACACCAGAGGCGCGGAACTACGGGAGCTTTTTTCAGTCAGTTTCAAGATGAGGGTGAGGATAAAGTCTGTTCTAAACGCCGTGTCACTGTCGTACCCTAGCCTACTCAACCGAATACAGTCGACTCTCGGCCGGACCTAGCCGCAAAAATGTTTGTTATACATGTACATGTTTCACAATTGTGTATTTAGAGGAACATCAGTCCCATTCATTGTGCACAAAAATGCACAATCGGGACTTTAAGGCTTTAGGTTTGTTATAACCAGAATGTGTATTAACAGTGTTTGTACTCAGAGGAGAGTCGAGTGTAGCCCTAATGGCGTTGTTTTCATATGCGCTTTCCTTTGAGAGCGAAGTCGGGACGCCAGACGAAGTACAGACCGTCTACCACATATAGGGTAGCAGACCAGTAAATAAACTTCCATAGACCCCAATGGTAAATGCTCCCACTTCAAAAATTCGGGAAAAATACTCACAACTCTCCAAGGTGTTCGAGACACACATCAAATTAAAGCTTATTTCATCATCTTTCATTTTCTTTCCAAGGTTCGGGGGGTCAACTGATGACTTTTAGGAGAAATTTCCATCTGAAGATGATCACCCCTGAAAATAGTCCTGAAGCCCATCGCCATTTTGAAAAACGATGCCTACACTCCATTGCAAAATAGAGCGCTTTTAGGGTCCAAATTACATCCAAATTACACAGAACTGCAAGCTCCCAGTCCTAGTGTGCACGGCTTCCACCCGTATTTGTTACAAACCCTCAAGTTCATGGCCCACAGCATGCTCAAATACTGAAGATTTTGAGGGCATGCAAATCGTGATTTGGCCCGGCGTAGGCAATTTCGGACCGATTTACTGGTCTGCACCCATAGGAAAGCGCCCATGTAAACAAAGCGTGACGTCATTAGGTCTCAGGCCTATTAAGCTAGTTGGCAAGAGCTCGTCTGTTACTAAAATAAGAAGTGTATTACTAAAAATTTAATATGCCGTGTATAATAGGCCAAAAAAAAAAGTCTCCGGTTTCTGGTATGGAGCTTGCCCAAAAAGTGGTGCGGCGACGCGGCTTTTTTTTTTTTTTACCTGATTTTTTTGCTTCAAATGTCGGCTGATGACTGCAAATGGTGCCCGACTAAACTTAGTGCAAATATATGGGAGTCCAGAGAGGCCACATAAAGCTTATTCTCGACCATAACCCAATCCAAAAACACGTTAAAATTGTGCAGCAGCAGGATTCCAGTCAAACCAGTGAGTTTGGCGGTTTTGAGACATCATCTTTCATTAAAATACCTTTTTCATTTTGCCGACGCGCATGGCTACGGCGACGCGCGCGCATACCAGAAACCAGAGACTTTTTTGGCCTAATAAGTCACAAGCACATTAAACAATGCGTCGCCCGAGCTGTTCAGATTGTAACACGTGTTTAAATTTTGTTATACCTATGTCCATGTACTTTGAAATGTCAGGGGTAAGCATTCCTCTGTGAAATATTGGTCGGTTGACAGCTCAAAATAACAGTTATTCATTTATTTTTAATCTCCAGAATCACCTCTGCTGTTCCATGAGCAAACTTCTGTCAGCAAGGTGCCTCTGCCGTGCCGCTCTTGTAGTGTTATTTTCGGTTACGTTTGCTAGTGGTAAGTTTATTTTAAAAAAAAAATACCTGTAAATAAGTTGCCGTCTTTTGTATTATGTTGGAATTCCATCCAAATGCAATTTTACCGCTTATGTCGATTCCCTATGACAAATAGTAATTTGTGTTTTTTTTGGCATGCATATTTTTGGTACAGTTGGTTTATGGATTCATTCCAAGACGCTACTTGATGTGACTCGCGGGGTGCCGCCAGAAAGTTTAAATGAAGCATCGTTCTTAAGACATGAGGCCGAGTTCGAGAAGCAAGACCACCTGTTGACTGTCAAACCGTCATCACGTGCATCTTCCTTTGCTGACGAAGTTCGAGCTCTGGCCAAGGCCTTACCAGAGCGGAAGATTGTCCTGACCACAACCAATTCGGGATTCCTAGATTTCACCCAGAACATGCTGTTGAGCATCCAGCGAGTCGGGATCCATCCGGAAGTGGTTGTGATTTGCGAGGATACGGCAACTTACAAGACCCTCCGGCTCAATGATTCTTACGGAGTCCACGTTTTGAAACCCACCAATGCCATTCCTGAGGCGGGAGAAGCGCTCAGCTTTGGCGTACATGACTACGTCACATTTATCAATAACAGGCCCAAGTATACACATGAGTTCATCAAGCAAGGCTTCGAGGTCTTTTTCATCGATTCAGACACTTTCTGGTTCAACGACCCGTTTCCGTATTTCAAAGGGGACCAGTACGACGTTGCCTTCATGAGGGATTACCGCAGAGTTTTCAATGCTGGGGTAGGGTTCTACCGACCCACCAACCGCACCGAGTACTTCTTGCGATTCTGGATCTGGATCCTGGAGACCCAGCCCAAGCACAGACAAGACCAGCACGTCTTGAACTACCTCCTCTCCTCCAAGCTTAACGCTGGCATCAAGGTCAGATCTCTGAGCTTCCAAGTTTTCCCAACTGGCAAGATTTTATACGACTGGGATCATGAAGTATGCAGAAACGTCACCAAGAAAACGGCACTCTTTCACGCTGCCTTTATAGCCAACCATGACAACAAAAAGAAAGTCTTTGATATCTGTAAGATATGGCTACTAAATTGAACCACCTCCCCCACGAAATAAAATAATGCCTAAGACATTGAGGATGAAACAAGCTAAATCGCACATGACAATGCGATAACAGTAAAATGCGCTTCTTTTCCTTTTACAAGATTTGGTAAAACTGGACATCCGCATAGCACATAACTTCAAACTTCAAAATAAAATAGTGATGATATAGGCCTATTATTACGCAATCAGAAAGTTAAATCTGTTACTATACGATATGTGTTTGCAATATAAAATGATATTGTAAACACAATCAACATGTGTAAATAATTGAAACAAATATTTGTTGACACACAAAAAGTCGCTCCAAATAATGTCTATAGAACTATCTTTTTGCATAATCCAAATGTACATAAAGTTAGGGCCTGTACGTCTAAAAATTATATCCAAATTATGTTGATTATAAGTTGCACTGTGCATATACCTTAGTTTACTTTTCTACATTTATGTTTGTTATAAGTCATGATGTTGTTTACCTGTATGATTTTATTTGTTTTTGTTTGTTTCATTAACTTGTTAAAGTGATTTTTGATATTTCCAACTTGTTAAGGGCCTTGTTGAAGACTTCTTTTATGTTACCCTAGATAAAGATAAACACTTAAACTTACAATGGCGGTTATTAAATTTCCATCAGGACTTTGTACATGGATTATTAAAGTTGGAATGATGAAATAAATTACTAGTCTCCGTTCTTCACTTTTTTCCCTTTTGGAATTAAACAGTTAAAGGTTCCTCATAATTACAGAGGAAACGAAATAAATGAAACGTAGAAAACATGAAATATGTTGCTGTTTTAGAAATGAGGGGATAATCCGAGATTGGCACCCCAGGGAAACCAAAAGAATTCGACAGGGACTGAAAATCCAGTCCATATACATGTATTGGCCTGAACGGGATTCGAACCTTGGTCAGAAGATTAAGGAAGGCAAGGATATAGTCCAGTGAGCGACCGTACCAATGTATTGCACGGACTTCGTGCCTCCAACAACTTTAATACTTGTAGGATCATTTGTCTTTATTCATGCATTTTGTTCGTTTCCAATAAAACACTACTCAAAATACAAAGAAGAATGTTCAAACCTAACTTGTTGAAGTTTCAGCTCAGTGGATCTTACACTTTTCGAGAAAACAGTGATACTGCCATTCACAATCCACGATCACGTACACGTTTCGTCCACAGCACTCTTCACATGTATTTCCAAAAATCAGTCAAATGACTGACATTGGAAATCACCTATGTGTCCTGAGTTCTTATAAAGGACAGCAAGGCAGTCGGAATAATATCACGGGGTTAATAGTACCAGTACGATCTTTAATCCAAGTATATAATATGCTTATTAAAGCAAAGTTACTTTTGGGATAAATGCAACATGATCCTACATGCCTTAACATCATCCCCTATGAAATTCAAGCTTTCAAAACAGGGTTTTCGTCTTACATGTACATGTGTATAGGCCCATGCGTAAAGATGGGAGGTTTTTTTTGCCGACGAACCTTTGGAATAGACCATTATCATGTTGCGGCCATCGTGATTTTTCCCATTCAAATCAACGTATGAAACCAAAGTGAGGCTGGAAGGACAAATAGTCTGGCTCCCTTTTGCACAAAAACCCATTATCATTCAGTACTGTTATTGGATACAGGGAACATGACTGAAATGGTGGCGGCATGATAAAAGTCTATCTGCCCCCGGTTTGGAAACAAGTTTTAGTAGTAGTGTTGTTTGGACCCCTTCTCCCCCTTTCAATATGCAAGGCTTGCTTTATGACGCAACCATAATAATGGGTACACGTTTCATAACTCCATACAGTCCGACTGTCGTTCTAACAAGGTCGATGGGACTAGCCAAATTACCTCTTTATACATGTAACAGGAATGTTGTTATAAAGGACAGCGAAACAAAGAAACACAAAGAGAACCCGAGATTTGGGACCTCAGAATTTGCTCTTTATAAGCAGAACCTCTTTATAAAAGTGCTCTTTATAATGAGAGTCGACTTTTACCTATGTATTTTTTTGTATTACCTTTTCTGACACGCCTTGCATGCTATCTCCCTTTGAAGATACTTTTGTACGAGTCTTTTATTTTTGCTGTTCTTTTAATTATTCACAACACTGTTTTTCTCCCAAAATCCAAACGAGTAAAAACTCAAAGTCTCGCTGTAAAACAGTGGTGATCCTTTATTGACAAAACATCCACCCAAATAAATCCTTGTTTGCATTATTAATTATAATGCCTTAATTGTTAAAAATGTTAAATTTCGTAAAATGTGTAATAAAACCCCTACGGGATGGTAAATCTTATTTAAAGAGATCGTCAGTTTATGTACTACATGTATTTTAAATTTAAAACAAGGCGGAAACAGTATGCGCCTACACGGCTTTGCCGGCTGGGCACAATAAAAACAATAATTTTGAGATATTTGCAACAATTGTAATCTCAAATAAGCTTATGTTGAGCGAGTATTGGCCTACAGTTCGACTTTCTTGAATAGATTGCAAACAAAAGCATGATATCCAAAAATCTTCAGCTATTACAGGTACAATGTATATAAAAAAAAAAGTGTCAATATATATATTTTTTGTCAAGGAGAACCATGATTTGGTAATAAACGAATCGTATTCTAAAGCATGTTTATAAAGCTTTTGATTTCCTATGTTCATTACCAGGTATTTGATTGATAATACAACAATAACAAAATACTTGTGCATCGGTACCCCCCCCCCCTAAAAAAAACCCAAAACAACAACCAACAAACACATATAGATTCATAAATTCACATGAAATGAGCCGTCCGGCATGTTAGCATGAATCTTCTTGTACTTTTAAGGGGGCGTGACAACTGCTTTCATAGTCATAAACAGGATGCTAACGAATGTTGGCTGTTAAAACAACTTTCAACCATCAACACGAATGTACATTTATAAGTGAAATGAATTCGTGTGACAAAGTCAAGTTAAAGGACTGTGACGTGGTGTGAGGAATGGCTTGTATCGGCGGGACTCAGGAACGAGTGTCACATTTTGAGGGTCACATTTTTCCATTTCTGATAGTGATGTATGTGAAGCTCTTAGATTTTTGGGGGTAAAAAATGCAGCATTATGTGAAAGTTCTAAAGCTTCTTCAGAATTAGTCAAATTTTCGAAATCCGAATCTTGACATTCCTAATTCATGTTTGTTTAGCTCAAATTGGGTTACTGGTCTGGTTTCAGCAGAACAATTCAATCACACCAAATACTTGTTCATATTCCTCAATAATTGAAGTGAAACTACTTAATGTAGTGCGGTGTATACGAGGAGACATCAATCTGTCAAATAATATTACAAAGACAGAGCTGCATGTGCAGAATAAGAAGAAACCATTGGGTACAGCAGGGATAATATTCGTATAGAGGAACTGTATATAATATTCCTAAAACCATATGTGAAGGACAAAACACAATCGAATTGACAACACTCCATCACCCCGGTGAAAATTAAATCACAAAGACAATAAATTTTTACTCAAATTATTATATTTTTGAAAGTCTACAGCCGAGCATTATAGGTGTTTTTCCCATCTGTGCCAAAAAATCTTTAAAATTTATTAAAATGTTACATTCTTTTAATTTGTTCTGTGAAATAACACTAAATATTATTTAAAAATTTTTTTTAATCAAATGGTGGGATGTGTAGTTTATCAATATCAAATCTCCCTGCACACAAATGTCCGGTATGACTAAAAAGGCCTGAAACTGAAAATGATTACGTACATCAACGAGATTAAACCCTCTCGGGTCAAAAGAGGGAAAAGGACAAAGCATATTTGATCCTATGTTGATTACGCAAACGTTCTGCCCTTTTGCACAGAGTGGTGCCAATCAAAATAAGTGTTGCGATAAAAAATGTGACTGATTTCGTAAAGTGTCAAAATTTACCAATTAGGTTGAGCATAGGCCTAATCATTTCAATTGGCAGGATGCAATCACCCTGCCTCCCCCCGTTTGTGACAAAAGCTTCCTTTATGAACTGTTGTGTATGCTATTTACACAGGCACTGTGTTTGGATAATAATTATAGACCCTTTACGGTCATCAACCATCTTTGAAAGCCTTTTTCCCTCCGTTGATTCAGTAACACTGAACGTTTAAAGCAAGACATGCGACGGAGGATCCCCCATTTCGTGTGTTGGTTATTGTGTTCATGGAACCTCGGGTTGCAGAGCAGTAAATCGGTCCGAAATTGCCTACGCCGGCCAAATCACGATTTGCATGCCCTCAAAATCTTCAGTATTTGAACATGCTGTGGGCCATGAACTTGATGGTTTGTAAAAAATATGGGTGGAAGCCGTGCACAGGACTGGGAGCTTGTAGTTCCGTTCAATTTGGATGAAATTGGGGCCCTTAACGCGCTCTATTTTGCAATGGAGTGTACGCATCGTTTTTCAAAATGGCGATGGGTTTCAGGACTATTTCCAGGGATGATCATCTCGGATAGAAATTTCTCCTAAAAGTCATCAGTTGACCCCCCGAAAATTGAAAAAAAAAAGAAATGATGAAATAAGCTTTAATTTGATGTGTGTCTCAAACACCTTGGAGAGTTGTATTTTTCCCGAATTTCTGAAGTGGGAGCATTTACCATTGGGGTCTACGGAAATTTATTTACTGGTCTGCAACCCTCGGGAATTCTTTTGAGATATTTAGGTGGGATGTGCTAGGTAACAGGGACATGGGGGACATGTCTAAAATCGTGCATGGTGCAACACTGAATGCAGGAGAGGTGTCCCCGTGCTATCTACGTGGAACAAAAGCACACACTTCAAAGATGGCTTCAAGGCCATGGATCTGTTGATGTTGCCCATTATTTACAGGCAAACGTTTCTCACTCACACCGAGCAGGCCTATGTTTAGCATTCATCATTCATTCCATGCATCCTTCTCAATAGACCGTACTTAATAGGGGCACTGTAGTGAGGCCCTTTTCTAAGTACAAAAAACTAGAAAAATCTCTTTCATTAAAGCAAATTAGTACCTTTAATTAAATTTATTAAAGACTGTAAAGATGTAGATTTTCGAATTATAGCAACATATACCGGTAAACCCATGTCAATTAAGGGCCCGTCTCAATTCATATACGGGACGAGTTCCGGTCGGACGAGTGGCAGACATTGTGTGGCGTACAAGTTGCAGGATTCTGAACAACTTCCCCGCAATCGTCCCGCATTGAAGTTATCAGTATTGGTGAGTCAAGCAGTTTTCTAATGAAATTAATTTTCAAATTATGCAGAGGCTTCTTCTGGACAATGTTTACCTGCAACTTGTCCGAAACTCGTCCCGGATATGAACTGAGACGGGCCCTATAGTATACCTTGGATAAATGTCTGTTTATTACCCCCATAAGGCCTTTGGAACACTTTAAACTTAAAAAAAAAAAATCGCACTTGTATTCTCACACAAACTACACATTATACAAAATGAGTGCTGAATTGCTATACCTGCCACCTAACATGCGACTTGAATTGTAATATAAAGGGGGAAAAAAGCAAAAAACTTACAATACGCCATCCATTCCTTCTCACAATTTCACTCAAAAAAAGTGCAAAGTTTCGAAAACTTCAACAATCCTAAATTTATACAGTACTACAATATGTTATATGCTCATAGTGGTTATATAATAATTTCTAGCCCTCTGTACTATTTTATATCAAAAATATATAGGTATTTAAATATACTTCCTGATTCCAAGAGTGTTTTTCCTTCAGTAAATGACACCCCGACACATTAGTTGGTGTAATGCACTCATTAATATTACAATATTCCCCCAATCGGCAGGTAAATAACCTTGGTTCTGAAACTTCTTCCCGTAATTTGAAATGAACCCATGCACTTTGCTTTTAAAAATACTTATTTATGGTACATAATATACAACCAATTGAAGACATCCTCCACAAATATAAACAAATGCTCTTTTCCTATCATACAGAATAGTGCTGTGTAATTAAAACTTTGATACATCAAAAAAAAACTTCTCAAAAGCCCACTTGTGTTTGTATATTGGGATGTCTGAAAAATATATTTCAGGCACCTTATAACTTTTACTTACAACAAGTGCTTTCCAAACGTGACACTGTGGAGAATTCATAAAGATGTTGTTATTGCACCGTAGAAAATATTCTCCTGTGTAAAATACTTTTTTTTCTGGTAAATGAATGTTACATGAAATAGTCTCGGAAGGTGAGTGGAGATTTCCGGGGGAAAATAGATTTAACAAATACAGGTTCCAGCTCTGGCTTCAGCTCCAGGGTGATTTTAGTCCAAAGTTAACAGAGTATGAGCATTAAAGGCCTCAAGATGCTTGTTAAAGATGAAGCCAAAGCTGGAAGATGAAGCCACTGTTTGGAAAACCTCATATCTCATTAAAAAAAATACTGGTTCAGCGCCTTAAAATCATTAGAATGTCTTGATCAATATTTGCAGCATAATTAGGTACATGACAGGATTTACACAATGCTCATCAAACGCGTAAGGTAATACTGCCCTTGTACTGAGTAAATATCTTCTATATTTCAATCCAAAACTTGTCTTTCAGACCTAGTCATACCAGTCCACACTTGGCGCACAGAACCTCCTTTAGCTGGCCAAACCAGCACAGTGAGATCTTTTAAATTTGGCTGCCCAGACAAAGTGCTCATTGCAATTATTAGCCCAAAATCTAGCCACTTATTGAGGCTAGTTCAAACTTCAGCGCTCCGCCAATACTTGCTGAGAAGTCACAAAGTTCATGACTGCGTTGGCTTCTGCACCGAATACGAACCTGCCTGTATTCGCACGACGCCTAATAGTGCGCTACACCACACAAAATAATGTCATAAGCAGTCCACATGTGTGCTCCTTTGATAAATGTGCACTATAATTAATTCGCAAACAGGCAAAGGGCCAATGCTAAAAAATATGTACACATGTATCTTGTGACAAACACGTTTTTGGCATTTCCGACCAAAACGTCCCCCCCAAAAAAAAACCCCACCCAATTTGGATCTTTGTCCCTTTTTCATTAAATCTTGCAGGCATATGAAATATTGCATGGTCGCAGAGCTCACATGATGATGAAGAGCTTTTCCGATTTCCAATGGATATTTTTGTTTTCATCAGGCATGCCATCGAACGCCACTGACTCTTGTGTTTGTGGCATATAGACTGGGCCATGTGCAGTTCTAGAATTTACCAAAATTCAGATCATAATATAGCATCAGTACCGGAGCATTTACGCTTACATAAATATGTTCCTATATACATTTTGCTTCAACTCAAACTATATATACACACACATACCAATATTAAAGTTGTATTATTTCATCCAAGGCAGTTCTGTGATTAACAAATAAGCGACTCTGGATCCACACTCTCAGGCGTTGAAATTAAGCACCAAGTCTAGGTTGCCTTTAAACTTGTGGTGGTTTTTTGGCTTCAACTTTAGTCAATGTCTTTTTCTTCAAAATAAAAGTTTGGACTTCGGCGAACACAATAGGCCTATGCTTGTTTTGTATGAAGAAGGTTAAGGTATATTTTAATGTGAAAGTTACTGTTACGAAACTGCTTCCGCAGCTTATCTTTGTTAAAAGCCCCGTAAACTTTAACATCCCTCAAAAAAAAAACTTCACAAAATTTCAGTGTTCCTTTTTTGCTTGTTCTAAAATTTAAAAAAAAAATTAAACATGTGCTTTTCACAATGCAGTTCAAAAACAAAACAATACAAGGGGGAGTCAGGTTGGCATAGCGGTACTTTCCTCGCCTTCCACCTCTGTGACCCGGGTTCGAATCCCGCCTGGGCCAATATGTGGATTGGGTTTTCTGTCCCTGCCTGCTTCCGTGGGTTTCCCCCAGAATATTCTTCTGGGCTTTTCCTCCCACCTCTAAAACTGTAACTTCTTCTCATTGTCTTCTCTCCACAGGTTTCTTCAGGCTTGCGAGCTACAGTGCCTAGGGCGCTTTTGAGGAATCCTTGGTTTCATTACCAGAAATGATTATTAATAATAATTAATAATAATAATAACACGACAGCAAGTGAAAACTGTGAAGGCTTCAACACAACATGAAGTGGGCGTTGGATTTAAATTGCAGTAAATATTGTTCTTGCATTAAGTTTGCAGTTATAATGATACAAATCAACATTATTTAATACTCAATTGTAATTATTAATCAAACTTACTTTGCTCATCTAATTAACTTGTTCACAGCATTTGTGGTTAGAAATTGTGATGAAAAAGGTAAAAAAAATTTACAAGTTGTTCCTTTGATATGATAGCTTTTCTTATTTCAAAATTAGCAACTAGAGATTTGAAATTGATTCTGTATAAACGTTTTGATCCTTTGGAAACGGATGATCCCTCCACCCTGCATTTAGTTAACTAAATACATCCTTAGAATCATGTACCCTAAAATGTATGACCATGATTAGCCACAAAAAAAATTTGATTCAATCAAAAAAAAAGTTTTTGATCTTGTGGACACAGATGATTCCCCGCCCTGAATTTAGATAATTAAATATGTCTTTAAATCATGTACACTAAAATCATTGATACATTTAAAAAATTGACAACAATAATTTTAAACCATTCATCAGTAAAATAGTACATTACAGTTGATCGGTGTTACAAATAAAAATTCAGAATCAGGGAATAAAATCAGTAAAATAACCAACTCAGTAGTGCATAATACATGGAAGTCTTTGCAAATAGTATGTGCATTTAAATTTAAAAAAAAGGTGGAGTTACTGAAATTGTTCTTCATTTCACCATTACATGTGGTTGGCCGACACAACTTTTAAAATCTGATGAAAACTAAATTGCAAGGGATTCATAAAAACTAGAGGAAATGACAAAGGATTTGGTTGAAATGTTAAAAAAGAACAATCAGTTGAAGAAACTCTGAAAACTTCATTTTTCTAAAAGCAAGGGAAGTTCTGTGTACAATGTAAACATATATGTTGATTGCAATTTGTGCTCCCGTTAAAAAAACAAAAAACAAGACATATTAAAACAAAAGTGCAGGTAAAATCTTTCAGAGTGGGGTGTCCAAACCATATATCTGTCCTACTCTTATGGAATGTGCACTGTAATCCCAGACAATTAGCACCAGTTACAAGAATTGTGCACAATTAAACAGTAAAAAAAAAGACAGTGAATACAATTGTTTTCTCTGGATTTGATCATGCCCTTGCATTCGTGCGACATTACACGGTGCTTTGTTGCCTTCCTTCCAGATATCCTGTCCAATCAAGATGGTCGCTGTCTCCCTTCATAATCGTGTAATGAATTCAGGCTCTCCGTTGCTCATATCTAGACTCCTCCTAGCAGGCTCGCCTACTGGGGAGGCAGTTAGTTCTGGTTCCTCAGTTCCGTTTATCTGGGAACTAGCTTTCACTTTCCCTCCTCCCTTTGAAGGGGAGGACAATCCCGCCGGGATTTCATCAGCTGCTTTTACAGGCGACCGCTCTGGTGTCTTAACCGGAGCTTTCTTAGGCGAGCCCTCTGGACTTTCAATGGCACTCTTTGTGGGTGACCCCTGTGGCGTGTCAACGGCATTCTCTGTGGGCAATCCCTCTCCAGGTGTCGTCTTCACGGGCGACTTCTTTGGCGAACCCTCCGGAGTCGGAACTGGTTTCTTGCGAGGCGACCTTCCCGACGGAGACTCGGCTGATTTGGTCGGTGACGGGGGATGGGAACCACCAACAGATTTGGGAGAAGAACTCCCTTGTTCCTCAGGAGAATCCTGTGATGACGATGATGATGATGACTGTACCGCCTTGACTGGGCACGGAGGATCAATCTCCCCCGTCTCGTCGGACCTTCCCTCGGGGTTTGTCTCGATCACCGCCTCCACCTCCACACCTCCGTTGACCCCGACCACACCCACCTGCTCTTGGCTGGTTGCTACCCCGTTGCTATGGGCAATGATGACAGGTCCTCCTCCAGACGATGACTGGTTGTTCTTGAGATCGTTCAGGAGTTGTCGGCACTTGGTCTCGTACTCTGCATCCAGTGATGCTGCATGCTGCCATTAGGATTGAACCACAAAAAAAAAAAAAAAATCGGTCTAAACTTCCTTAACGCAATTTCATGGAACTGGTAATGTGTGAAAATGGACTCAGGGCATGAACAAGAGATGGCGCTATTTGTCACCATTCATAAGAGCTCCAGAGGGAGGGATGTGCCACATCCAAGCACATACAAGTGCGTTCACACCGTCGATCGTGGACCTCCCATTGTCCCTCTTTTGTTTGTACTCTAACTTTTTAGGAAGACTCCCATATGTTTGTACACGACCCCAATCGCAGACGTATGCTGGGAATCGTGGACGATATTGTTCTCTTTTGTTCTCTGGAATTTTTCGGCCACGGTTTGAATAGATGAACACGCACTGGTTGACTCACATTATGGTATAAAGTGTGTGTGGCTAATTTGCACAAACCTAAAGCATCTTCACATGCTATGAACATAGCACCACACAGGCTATGCTTCTAGAGTCTCTAACAGTGGTCCCTCCCAAATTTTATAACTGTTGATGAGGGGGTACTTGGTGCAGTGTACTATCCGCTCCGTTCACAAGTACCCCCTCACTGGCAAAGAAAGTACAGTTGGGGGTGACCGACCGACGCCATCTTGCCTGACTGCAATTCATTTGCCGCGAAGCGCAGCCACTGTGTGTACGTAGTACAAATCCCCTGGTGTAAGTGCGTCACACACAAGGAACGATGCGCGTCAACCAGTGAAATGTCCCACCCATGGGATGCCGTTGCTAGGTAAAAGGGCGCCCTCTTTTGTCGGCGCACGGAACCCATCCCTATACGGAGTTCACAACAGCATCGTGATGTGACACTGGGGAACCCAGCCACCGTGACTTACCGTATCTTCCTCCGCAGCGAGTTCCTCCTGCAGTTCCTTCATCTGCGTCTCCAGCTCCTCTCGTTTCTTCTGCTGGATCTCATGCAACTGTATAGCAAGAACAAAAAAATCAAACAGGTCAAGTTTCAACCTCAGTGTTTTCTGCAAGAATTGAATTAACTGCCGAACTTCAAGAATCTTGGTAAATTAAATGTGGGAGAAACTCACCGTCTGTCTGGAAAGCACTGCCTGCTGAATGTATTTCTGCTGGTTTTCTCGTCGTAACCTGTCATTAAAAAATACGCAAAAATTTGCATCAATAAATATTGTTCTTTAAAAAATCATAATTTCCTTTTTTTTTGACCCGAGGATGTTTAACCTTAAACCTAAACAGAAAATGGAGTAAAGAAGACATTTGTTGCTATTGTGCGTCCTGAGAGTGTTAAAGGGCCCCATGATCTTAATTCCAATTGATAAGACATTATATGCAGTTATCCACCCATCTTAATTTTATGAAAATAAAGACGTTTTGGACTAGCCATTGCAAGGGTGGATCCAGAGGGGTTACTGCCGGGTGGGAGGGGGGGGGGGGCTGTCTCAAGTGAAAAATGGCCTTATTTGAGATTGTTTCAGTCACTGCCGTGGGGTGGGAAGGGGGTGGGGCGAAAGGCGGTTCAGGGCGCGGGGGGGGGGGGGGCCTCCGCACCCCCTGGATCCGCCACTGGATTGACAGGAGGCATTTGCATGTTACTATTAGTGCGCATGCGCAAGTTATGTCATAAATCAAACACTAGTCGACTAATGGTAGAACTTGCTCTAGGCTGCAATTTATTCTTTGTCCAGAACATTATGCTCTACTTGAGCTCACTGTGGCCACGCACCAAACGATCACTGAAATACCACGACAAAATGACATTAGACCTGATTTTCGAAACTGCAAATTGCCTGGGATGACAAGGATTCAAGTCCAATTACTCACCTGCTCATTTCTTGCTTGTCGCCTCGCCGTTTACTCATCTGCTTCAAGTCCTCCGCATTCTTCTCATCCAGTCTCTTCCTTAAATCAACTTCCTCCCTGAAAAAAGAAAAAAAAAAAAAAAAGCCGTATGGTTCATGTTCATCCATCTCCCATTTTCTGTTAGTTGCGCGAATGGGATTTTGGATAATCAATGAAAAAAACAACTACATCACAAATGTCAGTTGTGGTTTATGGCTTCATCATTTCAGCTGACAAAGACGTAGGGAGATGGGGTATTTAGGTCCTAATCCAGGCACTTACTTCTTGTGCTGACTGTCCAGCTTTCCCAACTGCTTCTCATGGACGGCAACCATCAACTCCATCTGGAGTTCATACAGGATCTCTGCATGTTCTTTCTTCAAATCTCTCTCGTCAGCAAAGTGCTTCTTGTACAGCTCTATCAACGCCGTCTCCTGAGCTGCTTGCTTCTTCAGAATCTGAGGATTTGCATAAAAAAGTCTTTAAAATGCGAAAACTATAGGAAACTTCTACAACCCAAATCACGCATGAAACTGGAGCTTAACTTCATGTTGTCTAATTGGCCCAAGATGCTAGTGATCGAAAGTGGACGGTGAATAGTGCACCCTCTAATGGCACAACAAATAGACCAGCGCGCCTACTTGCACTAACGTCTTGGCCCTTTCGTTTCAGCGGTTTAAGGTTTTCTTTATTTTCTCCCTAGGCTTTCCTAGGGAACCAATCAGCGATCGAGAAAAGTTTCAATGGCTCGCCCAACGGTTGGGCCAAAGAATTTGGCTCATTTTACCTCATTCTCTTTGTCTCGCGTTAGAGCGTCCATCACCTCGTTTAGCTGTTGTCTCATCTCGTCAATGTTTCTGCAATAAAAATAAGCCCTGGTTAAGCAATGCACAGTGGTGCTCCAAAATAAGATTGAAGACTTTATTTGCCAAGGTTTTAGGAAAATGGCATCAAACGGCAAATCCACACACAAAATTGTAAATTGAGTAACTTTTCAAAGTCCAACACAAACAACACAGGACATGTTGTTACAACTGATAATGTAGTAAACAAAGGATAACGTATCGCCAACCGATAGTGTCACACAAATTGACCAATATTGTATCACTAACCGATAATGTAACAAAAGTTTACCGATGGTGTAGTACATGTAATAGTCAATTGTTGTTAGATTATCAGTTAGGACCGATAATGTAACAACAACTGACTGATAGTGTGGTACATTTTAATACATTATCGGTAATTTTTTTGCTACATTATCAGTTAGTGGTACATTAACGGTCAATTTTTGTAACATTATCGGTTGGTGATACATTATCAGTACTGAGTAACACATGTTGAAAATATTTGGTGGCTTTTTAAAAATAGTTTTTTTAATTATTTTTTATTTTGCTCTGCTCTTTGCACTCGGGAGATATAAATCTACATTCATAAATACCTAAGACAGTTTACGCATTCCTATTGGTCGAGAGCCCGTCACGTGGCCGGTCTTAAACGGATGATAAAGACATGGCTAGCTGGTCTTAAACACTTTTCCAGTGTCACAATAAAATGTGGACTCCTAAAAATCCAGTGCCTCTTATCGTTTCATTGGTTGAACGTTCACAATCCTCACGTAGGCATGCGCAACACTACCAGGGAGTCAGAATTTTATAGTTCTAAATTCAAAACGCAACGCGCCAGGTGCGTTCTGCGTTCGCGCAGAACATGATACGCGCGCATCAATCTCCATAAAAGGGTTGTTTACATCTTACTCGCCAGCTGAACATTCCATTATTTTGCAAGAGGGATGTTTCAAAAAGCATAAAGTGAATTTGTTGAACAAAATCGGGATGTTTTGAACGAATTATATGATTTTTTTTTACCGAAAAGGTATTTATGAATGGGAATAAATATGTGCTCCGTCGGTATTTATCACTCTGTTTAATACCACTTAGAGTCTGGGTGCTGATAATTACCCTCGCCTCCGGCTCGGGTAATTATCAGCACCCAGACTCTAAGTGGTCTTAAACAGAGTGATGAAAAACCTCCGGAGCACACATTTATTCCCTTATTATAGTTTGAACCACAGCATGGCCTAAAAGCTTGTAAAAAGACAAAATTTCTGTCAAAAATCCCTGATTCTGGTACTTGCTGGTATATAAGATTCAAACTGGCCGACTGACCTCAGACCTAAATGGTCAGGGAATAAAGATGGCCGTAAATGTACTAGTTAGCAGGAAGTTCAAGTTCCATCCAGGTATGCATGACAATTTTTTGGGGGAAAAACCCCAAAATGTGACAGCACTTAGAACTGAGATGGGTAAACCAAATCCAGTAGAAGAAAAAAATAGAGATGAACTTAAGAAGAAAACAAGAGAATATTGAGCTGTGACTGACTGTCCCTTCTTGGCCGCCTTCTTGAGTTGGCTGGATTGTTTCTTGGTCAGAGACTTGAAGGCTTTCTGGTGGTTCTTCTTCATCTTGACTAGGTCCTTGTCGTGAGTCCGCTTCATCTTGCTCTGTTTCTTCTCTTCTTTCTTGATCAATTTCTCAAGCTCCTGGTTCAGACGCATCACCACCTTCTTGTATTTCTAAAAAGTTAGGAGAAAAAGTATTTAGGGATTAAAAAGACAAGGGTAATTTAAAGGTACGTAGGATCATTTGCTTTTTGTGTATCTGCTTTTTCATGTGAAGCAATATAAGTGCTTAAGGGTGCATGACACCTTACCTGTTGAAGTTAAAGCTCAGTGGATACAATACATCTTACTATAATTCGGGCGATTCACAATGCAGTGCGCCACCAGAGTTTGCGGGAGATGGTTGACAAATTCGCAGCGTGGGACATTTGAAATTGTTAGTTTTCCGGTCAGTAGTTTCGTAAGCGTATGATTCGAGTATATGTTTGCCCTTTTCTTTTCTTTTTATCAATATGGTGTAGTAAGGCGGCAGAACGCTATACCCCAATCTATAACAAACTAGCTCAAGTTGCCTACTGACAATCATTCAAGTGGGCCATGTTTTGTCGATCGTAAACTTGAAAAATGGACTCTCCATGGCAAACTATTGGTGGCGCACTGCATTGTGAATCACCCAATTCCATAAATCTCTGTGTGTCTGTCTGTATTTCGATTATCTCCAAAACTGGGCACTGTATGAAGTTGACAATTGGCAGGTGAATTGCTCAGCACCAAAGAATGTGCAGACCAGTGTCAAGTTGCTTGGATGAGTGGTTCTTAAAGAAGCTGCAAAAAAAAGCAGCATTTTCGGAGGCCCACACCTACAACGTGTATATACAGACCACGCCACGTACTGCTGCACATTTTGACAAGCACTGCAGTCTATACCGCGCCACAGGTACAGTTTAACACACATGCAAATGGTGTTTGGGTGTATGGGCTCTACCATTTCTTGAAGGGGGAAGATCCCGCAACGGTGAGGCGGGCTTCGACCATTTTTTCAAGGGGACGATCGCGCAACAGTGAGGTGGGCCTCGACCATTTGTGGGAGGGCAGGGTCGCGCAACAGTGAGGTGGGCCTTGACCATTTTTTTTTAAGGGGAGGATCGCGCAACGGTGAGGTGTAGATATGGCACGCTGTTATACAGTGCACTCTATACTGCCACGTTTGCAGGTCTACTGGAGGCCAAGCAATTTCCCCGTTGCAAACAGGCACGTTTTGAACGGGCACTGCACTAGTTTTGACAAAACAGAGAAAAAAGTATGCAAAACTTTTTTTGTGTCTACATGTATGTTAAAAACCACATACAATTTCTAACCTTGTGATCTTTGATGTCTTCTAGCCTTGCAGCCTGAATTTCCTCTGTTCGGCAAAAACAGATTTGAAAAGGTTAATTAGCGAACACTTCAAGATAAAAAGACAAGAAATTTGCTTGATAGAAACAGGCATGCAACTGGGAAGTAACAGAAAAGAGGATAATCCAAATTTTACAAGACTTTTAAACAGAGTTTGTCAGTTTTTAATGGCATAAGTGTGAAGTCAAAACAAGGATATCAGGTGATCAAAGGAAAATTACATGCCTGTAGAAAGGCAAAAATAAGCTCCACAAAAATAGGATGCATACTTGGGACATTTTTGACGACCTAGTGTAGTGGAGCCATATTTTTAGGTCCATTTTGCCATCTCATATTTGTGGGGTAGCAACTGTGAATTTGTTCGCGCTGTGAATGCGCAAAAGTTGAACACATTTCAACTCAACGTGAATTTCAACGTGAATTTCGCAGGGAATGCTTCGGACGTCAAATTCGCATCACATTTGCATGAAAAACGTATGAACCTGCCTTAACACCTGTGCTGTTTTAGACTAAAAGAAGGAGTATATTTCACTTTTCATGTTAATTCAGTAGAGAATACAGAGTACTCTGATAAAAATGTTGATTCGAAACCAAAGTGGGGTAGCCAAAAGAAAAAAAACAAACACCTTCACCGAAACGGAACAGGACATATAAATCTTGAAAGTTTTATACAAAATATTGATCAATGCCCCAATCCAATTCTTTATGTTCAAATGTACTTCTGGTGTTTCATTAGTTAGACAAACGAATACAAACAGGTATAAAACCAGATTAAGATTGGAAACAATACAAGATGACTTTGTTTAACATAAATAATGTTCACATGTAGAACTCGAACAAAGTTGTTCATGCATGTTGCATTCAAATCTTTCTCATTCAAGTATTATTTGCAGCCTGTTAGAAACACTCCAATGTGAATGCACAGATAATCTTTTGATTATTTTTGTTGTTTTGTTCAGTGGTGAAATACTAGTTGTTCAATCAATGGGCTAACAAGATTTGTTATTTAGAGGTGAAATAAAATGAAACTACACATGAAATAAAAATGTCAGAGAATTAAATAAGTCTAGAGTGAGAAAAAGTGCAGTTTTGGGGGCAATATAAAGAAAAAACACTTGTGCAAATATCAAACAATGCCACATCAGAATGAGGCCATGCATAAAGTCAAGCTGACAAAAACATCAAAATGTAACATCACACTAATTCAAATAAATCAAGAAATCACACACAAGAACATGAAAGTAGGCCTTTACAGCAGGAATCGAACAACATTGACAGTCAGCTAAAGTAAGGAAAGATAACACATTAACGACACTTGAAAAACTACAATTTTTTTTTTACATTAATCAGGCATGCAACTGGGAAGTTACAAGAAAAGAGGACCTTTCCAAGTTTTGTAGTGTCTTTCAAATTTTAGTGGCATCCAAGAGAAGTAAACAAAAAGGAAATCAGCTGATCTGAGGAAAGGTTGCATGCCTGATTAACTGAGGAAAATGGAAAAGCTAAGGCTACAAAACAAGCAACACATCTAGGACTACTTGTCACATTACATTGAACACTTAAGCATTGGGGTTGAAGATGCACATTTTCAAGAAAACAATGAGAATGTCAGTGCTTTAGCCACTACTGTTTCCAATAAAGAATTCAAAATGCTAATAGCAGACTAGATATTAAAAGTTGGTCAGTATATTTTTTAATTTGAGTACATGATAGAAGGAAAGAGACTAGAGGGAGATTTGAACCTTGGACCTCCAAATATTGCATTACTGACTCTTTCAACAAGCATTCTTGTTCCTTTGTACATCCCAGTCACAGCAGTTATTGAAGGCGTTGTCTTGGGAACATTAGTCAGAAGTTGGTTATGCCATTACCACCTGTACTACATTGTATTACATTGCGTTTCAAACTCAAAAACGATGTTTAAATGACAATCTTTTGCTAAAAAAAATTGGTTAAAGTGGTCAGAAATTGTCTCAGATTGCACCAAGAATCCAGAGCGCCTAGAATCCAAAATTTTCTGAACCCCACGCCAAGTTCTCACTCTCAGCTTTTACTCAAAGTTGGCAGCCCTGCAGCATTGGCAATCTCCCAGTTAGCCCAGGTCTTTGTTACAATTAAGGTAGATGCTTTTCGCCAAATAGGAAGTTAATGCTCATCACGCAACTCCACTGAACTAGCTGATTCTATGGAGCTGTTAGAATGTTATCATGATTTCATTAAAAAATATTAACATTGCACCCTCATATAGCACAGCAGTTCTACTACAAAAACAGTTTTGAGATGATTAAGTTTTACAGAGGAGAAACAATAAACACAATCGACATCTGTGGACGAAAAAAGACAACCATTAGAGGGAAAGAGACGAGCAAACAACAGAAATGTAGGAGGCGGCATGTTGGAGGAATATCGGTATGAATGGGTACACATACGTGATGAAAGTACAGCTAACGTGAACAGCAGGCAAAATGGATGGTGTTTTTTGTTTTCTCCAATCAACAGCACAGAAACAGTGACAGTAAGCATGCTGACGATAATGTGAGATTGAAGTCTGGACACCAGACAGAATGAAGCAGAGTGACATGGAAGTGGATATACCGACTATGAGTGATCGCTACAGCTACTGTCACCACAGACACATAATTCTAGGATTTCTTTGTTCTGGCACTGTGCTGAAATTCATTACAGGAGGCTATTTTTATCAACAATATATCAAACAAATACTTTGGTAAGTGACCACCTGAGTTAAAATTATACCTGCCAACCCTAACATGGCATATTTTATTGTTCATTTTGCTATCGCTAACATTTTTTTGCATTACCTGAATCATACATGTACATCTCCTGATGCATATCAGCACAGTCAGTGACTCTGTTATTTACGTGCTTCTTATAAAAAAACCATACATCATGCAAACCTGTCTTGACCTTGTATAATGAGACCCCCTTTGATTTTTTGACGGCCCATGTGTTATGATCCCTGTGTGTCACATTTGCAAGCATGCAATCCTTAAGTGTGACAATCATGCATTATCAGATTGCCTAAACCCGTCCAAATAAGTCTGGCCCCTTTGGTGTCCCTAATTTGACCAGCTTGTATCACATGTGTGACAATCAACCTGACAACTTGTCATATCCTTGTCACATGCACTGTCACAAATTGGTGTCAGAAACAAAGTCACAATCTGTGTCACAGCACTGTCATGTCAAATGTAAAAAAAATCTGTCCAGACCCTTTCCAGACTTGTCACAACCCACATTACTAGCACTTGTCAAAATCAATATCAAAAGGTTGTCAATGTCATAATCTGCAAAAATACTTGCTGTCACAAACCCATGTTCGTAACCCTTCATACCAAGCTGTCACACTATGAAGTCACATCCTTAGGCAGAGCATTGTCAAGTTTGTCAACCCAAATACCTGTCATGACCTACAAGCTGTGCATAACCTCCATCTTGATTTGTCCAGATTCTTGTCACTGTGATATCACAACTCTCGTCAAATACCTTACGGAACCTACAGCACATCAATGACCATTTCCACAACTTGTGTCACTGTCATATATTGCAAACCCCTTGTCACACCGATACCATTTGTCATGTCCTGTCACAACTTTTTCTGTATTGTCCCTTTCATATCACAACCCTTATCGCAAACCATAACCCCGTCACAACTCATGGCCCCTGATACCAAATTTGACACGTGTCACAATCCATGACCTCTGACATAACCTACGACACATTACGACCCACGACAAGACCTATACATGACCGTCTCATAGTCCATGACCCGTGACCAACATCACAACCTTCACTTTTGAGGGGGTGCGGGGGATGTGTTACCGTCATTCAGTACCTGATTGGCCCAGATTGGGTGCGCTAATGCTGCGGTTGTTCTGATTGAGTGGGGCGCCCAGTGATTCCATCTGAAACTGAGCGGTACCCAGGGATCTGGTTCTGGGTATCGGCAAGCTGTCTGCTCAGAGCGGGAACAGGGAAGAAAATAAAGAAAGGAGGGAGGGGAGTAATCAAAAACAAACAAACAAAAAAAACTAGCCAAAAAAAGAGAAACGACCAAGCGTTAATACATCTTAGCTTGAAGCTAGCGTAGCTTTGTGGCATCAGCTGTGTTGCGGACAATTCCTTTGCTTTATTCTGGTTTTCTTTCATGTACTGGCAGAGCTGTAGTCAGGTTCTTTCAAATCAAATTGCAAGACATTGCAGTTTGCGTCAAGTGAAAAGTTATTCAACTGAACTGTGACAAAAGCATTGCTTTGTCATAATTCATCCTTGGTACTCGTGATTTGACTTTTAATTAACTTTTCAACTCTGTGAAGTGGTAAAAAAAAAAGTGGACAACTTGAACTTCATTTGAGGTACATAATAACCTTAGACGAGGGTAGTTGGCATTCCCCCCTCCCACTTTCGCTGAAATGTTAATAAAACGCACAACCTCCTCTCAACTCCAAGATATTACTACCGCCCAGACATGCTTAATGATGACATCATAATGATCTCAGCATAAACATCCCATGCTGAATGGATAAGCGTGATCCCCAACAAGCAGTTGATGTATATCAATGACGGCACACCCGAACATGGCAAACAGGTGTGACTGAGTGAACATGAAACGGTCTGACCTGTGAAATCCATCCTTATCAAGTGAAATTAGAACAAAATCAGTGTTAACTCCAAGCAATAGCTGAACCTAAATATTTAAAACTGAACCTTGTATAAATATTTTTAAACAAAGCAAATGAAGATAGTATACAAATACTGAATGTTTGTGAGTGCAATGGGAAGAATAATTTCATGAGTTGACAGATGAAATGTTCCATTCCACGAGGCGAAGCCGAGTGGAATGGAACATTTCATCTGTCACCGAATGAAATTATTCTTGCCATTGCACAAACGTGAAACATTCATTATTTGTTTTATATAACACCTGAATAAATCCTCGTCATCTGATTGGTTGACTTTTAATAGCCACTTTATTCAAGTTTAAAACTGTTTAAAAGTTTGACAAGTTCAGAGCTATCTTATTTAATTTATGCAAACTATTCAACAGGTTGAGAACTATCATATTCATTTTATCTCAAGTTAAAACTGTTCCACAAGTTTAGATTTCAAACAGTTCTAGTTTAGATCTCGCGCCGTGTGTTGGGACGAATAATTCAATGACATGTGATCAACGATCCACCAATCAGATGACAGGCATTTATTCAGGTGTTGTATAAACTATAATATAACTCATTAAAATTAAATTATGTGTGATACAGTGTCTGTTATCTGATATTTTGTGTTCAAGTGCAAAACCGGCAATCTTGTTTCGCTTAGCAACACTCAAGAAATTGGCATTAGGAGAATTTTAAATGAGAAGCCACTTTAGCCACCAGGTCTTTGCTTTTCTGCAGTGTGCAATTGAGACAATATTCACGCCAGCTGAAAAATTGCATTGCCAAACAAACATTTTCCTCAAAGGCTTCACAATGAAAAAATAATTAAAATTTTGGTAAAGTAGACATGATCTGAACTAACAATCTCCATATGGAGTAGTAGGGGCTCCGTGTGCCAACAAAAGAGAGTGCGTTTTTACCACTTTTGAGAGCTCCGTGACACACAACGTGTGCGTACTATACTGGTTCGCGCCCGAAGTATGCATGACTTCCTGAATGTGCCAAAGCTATTAGCCACAGCGTCTTCGCGCGAGCGTCAGGCGTAGTCGGCGTGCGAATACGTTCGAATTTAACTTGCGGTGGTCTCCAAGACTAATCCCCGCCCCAATAACTTTGGATCATTTGAAATACGCAGTGGATGGACCGGGAACCAGTCTAGGTCTCCCCCAACTCTCCTTTTCTGGCCGTTGAAGGAGTACTTGTGCACGGAGCCCATATTACGCAGGGTATTTAAATATGTTAATCAATAGTTTTTCACACAATCCAACCAATCTACTCATCACAGTTTTGTAGGCAACCCTTTTCTGACGAAACATAACATTATTGTTTCGTAGCCTCCCTGTTGTTGTTATTGATGTTTTACTTTTGCCATTTTTTATCATGGCAGTGTATACCCTGTATCCGCTCCGTTCACAAGTACCCCCTCACCGGCAAAGAAAGCACAGTTGGGGGTGACCGACCGACACCATCTTGCCTGACTTCAATTTTGCCGTGACGCGCGGCCGTACCATGAACCACTGCGTGTACATATTACAAATCCCCTGGTGTACGTGCGTCACACACAAGGAACGGTGCGCGTCAACCAGCTAAATGTCCCGCCCATGGGACGTCATTGCTAGGTAAAAGGGTGCCCTCTTTCGTTGGCGCACAGAGCCCATACAGAGCCACTTGATTCTTTGCCCCAATCAGGCTTTGGCCACTCCCTCCTCTTTTCACAAAATTTAATAGTAAAGTGCATATCTAAATTTATAATCTCAAACTGGTTGTGTCAGCATTTTCAAATTGGATTCATTTCAATTTTTTTTGTTTATTTCTTCGTTGTAATCTTTCCAAATAAGGGAGGAATTCACTACATGTTAAATTCACTACATTTGTAATATTGGCCCTTTTCAATCGCTCTCATATCTAACTGTACATAAGGCCCCCAAAAAAATACTCGGTCTCTGGTCACACCAAAGTTCCGGAATTGATGCAGCAATGCGGTTTTTTTTTTTTTTTTTCAAGCTTGGATTGTACAGACAAGGTGGGGTACTATTTTGCTATTTTTGGTGTCCTCATGTACATTGGTGTCCTGCATAATATGCCTTAGTGCCCTCAATCATTTGCCTTGGTGCAATTTCCCATTCCTTGGTGCTCTGTGGTAAAAATTAAAAGAATTTAGGAGGTGCGGCAATAGAGGGCGCTGTTAGAGCTACCGCGGAACATTTTGGAAAAAAGAAGAAGATTGACGCGCATGATTAAAATCAACGCGCGTGCTGACCAGAGACCAACTATTTTTTTCTTTTTGGCCTAAGTACAATTTTAAACAAGTACACTATTTGTACATGTAATACCAAAAGTAAGAAAAGTGATTTTGAGTTTGATTTAAAAAAAAAATTAATATCCACAACAGCAGATTTGTCTTACCTCCAAATGAGGAGGATGGAGTGATAGCAGCCAAGCTGGTTTGCAGTTTAGCGTTCTGTTTCAAACCGTTGGATTCAACCGAAGGGATGGTGTTTTTCCGGTAATTTCCTGGGCCCGTCGTCGTGCCGGCAGGGGATGGAGCCGGGGCAGGGGAGACTCTACGTTCCGCCGATGGCTGGTCTGGAGTGTCGTCATCACCATTCTCCTGTTCCTCCTTCAATCAAAAGAAGAAATTAAACCAGCAGTCAAAACTTTCGTCGATTTTAAAGTTGCATTCCCTGTACTCTTTGACAAATTTGAGAGTTTTGTATTAATACCTTTTCAACTTGTATGTTTTATTTCAACAAAAACCTCCCTTTTTTCCTCTTTTGGATGTCTGCAACCATCGGAATTATTGTCTGCCAGCCAATAATCCGAAATTGCAAAGTAATAATTCAATTACTAAACATGGGCCATTTTTTTTTCAGTCGATGTCTCATTCAAAAGTAAATTGCCATATTTCTAGAAATATGGCAATTTAGAAAAGGAATCTATTTTTCAGGAAGCCAAAAATAGCATGGCAAACGAAGATTCAAGTCCACAAGTACATTGAAACATAATGAATCAATCCTCAGAAACTACGCTCTGTTGAGTCCAGATTCCTAACCAATACTTAGACCTTATTTGTCTTACTTCTTAAGCGTAATTGACACTGCAGCATGCTTTTTAAAAACCTTTTTTAACTTTTAACTTTTTTTTATCAACTGAGAAAAAAAACTTGACAACACTTCAATGCAATGGCAGACTTATCAAACCTCACATGAATAAAAAAAAAACCTGGAAAAATCTCCAAAAAGCAATGTCATCCTTAGAAAGTAATCATCTCAACATCACTTTTTTGATCTATATAATTCAATAACATTTTAAAGGGAAGATACAACATTTGCAAACATCAAAAAACGAAATGATCAAATTATCACGAAATACCCTACTGGATTGTTAGGGAATTACAGTCTAAAGCATCCTGTAAAATCATGGCTCCTGGTGTGCTGACATTTTCAAGAAAAATTGTATTTTTCCAACGCTGGTCGGCCGACCAGCGTTGGAAAACACTGTCTTTTTTCAAAAAAATTGTTCCTATTTTTTACATATTTAGTTATTCCACATTTTCTTTGCAATAGATTACACACCTGTGAAGGGGTACAAACCTGCTAGAGTAATTCTCTAACCTTACAATTCCCTAAAGTCTTTACGTTTCTCCGTTTCATCTTAAGTGGGGTCGGGGAACCAGACTACAAGAAAATGATTGGTTTTCTTGGTTTTTCCAGCATAAACAAGCCCAAAAACGTGAAACAAGTCAGTTGAACAATATTTGCTATAATATACTAATCCTCCAAATCCATTCATTTCTGAAAATTGCAGCAAAAGCAAATGTTGTACATTCCCTTTAAGACAGAATATAGTTTTCAAAATTATGCTTTCATTTGCACATTTGCGATGCATCAAAGCTCACCATCAAGAAACAATTGTGATTGATGACTATACCAATGATTGATTCATGATGTAAACTCTACTCAAGCACTTGTATTAACCCTCCTACTGCTTCAACAGTCACAGACAGTCAAAATTCCATCCACTTCCTCTACGCCATGCCTTTAACACAGGCTAGTCACCAACACACATATCATATTTCAAGCAAGCACTGTGACTAGTCAAATTCAGTCAACAGACAGTGGAAGCCACAGCTGGCTTACAGTCAAAGCATAGCTGTATCAAGTTACATAAACAGTCACAGCCAGTCAATCCTGCTTTGTGTTGGCTGGGGGCTCCTAACTGTTGAAAACAATCACTTGCTTGATTTTGACTGAAAGGGCAACTTGGCACAGAATGTATGTTTGCATAGGAGAGTTAAAGTGTGAATATCTCTACTACAACTATAGTCCCATTTTCAACTGAATGTCAATAGCAGTGATGCTTTCCATTTTCACTGCAGAGGGTGTTATCAGTCATTAACGTCCAAACTTGTGTGAGTGGCTCTATACTGACCGTTGCCTGTTCCTGGCTCTTGACCTGCTTGACCTCTTCTTCCTCTTCAAGGGCCTTCAGCTGGGCGGCTCGCTTCTCCTCCTTGGACTGATAAGCGATGGGATTGGCCAAGGCATCGGCAAAGTTGGTCATCCGCTCGGGGACGTAGTCCCTCACCTTGATGTTCAGGAAGAGGGTGGGGAGCATCAGGGGCTGGTTGGACTCGTTGCACAGGAAGAGGTGACGATAACCTATAGGAGAAGGGGTGAGGAATGAGGCGGGGAAGAAAGGGGGGGGGTTAATGATTAAGGCAAAGGTTTAAAGGGTTGTTCATTGACAGAGTTGTTGCCCAGTTGTTGAATGATTTTACTACGCTGTGTCCAGACAAAAACTTGTCTGCATTTCAGCAATGATTTGCTGATGAAACAGCCCCCCCCCCCTCCCGGCAAAATTCCTGGATCTGCCCCTATTGCCGCGTCCACCGTCAGTCAATCATAAGTCAATGCCTACACCAACCGCAAGTCAGGTGACAAGCACACAGAGACCAATACAGCAAAGGATTTTTTCAGAGAAAGTTCATTTGAATGGCATGTTACTCGACCAGAGACTGAATGACTAGAGGAAAGATATGAGATTGAACTAGTACGGCAGATAGGCGATGACTGCAAATCTGTTCTCAGGTTGATCAATCCAGATGGTGAATTGTTGAATAGACAGACACAAAATATAAGTAAATGAATCACCGCAGCCTTCACCCTTTCAGTTCCATGTGCTTCATACACAGTTCATCTCCAGTAGCCGATTTCACAAAAACCCTGCGCTTTTATGAAACTTTGCTCAAGTGCAACATTTTCCTGTGTTTTGTTTTGCACACTGAAGACATGATCATCCTATGAAATCGCTTTAACATATATTGCGTATATTTTCCTCCCAGGCTAATATTTTTTGTGAAGTTGTGTCACTTTTTAATCCTAAAAAAAAAAAAATTCAGACCCCTCCCCCAGTTGCCCCCTTAACCCCTTCTGGGTATGCAACTGAACTTGTCCAAGATTTTCAAACATTTTGGGGACACAAGTCTCACCCCTTTTCCTACATCGATCCTTTTGACCCAGAGAAGCAAAACCCATTTTGGGGCCAGCTATTTTCTTCTTACCAGGTCTGAGTGATTCCACCGGCAGTATTCTGTGGCCGACCATCTTGCCGTTGTCTTCAAAGACTGCGATGCGAAGCATGGCCAACTCCGGCATAATCACCTGACAATTTTAAAAGGGCAAAAACTAAAATGAACCTTCTCTGTCTAAGACTTGGGCCTTGTTTCATGGCTCTGGTAACTATTACAGACGAGTGTTTTGATAACAAAAATAGCAAATTCTGCGCTAACAGTGAGTGAATGTTATGGGTTAAAGGTATAGTCCATCATTTGTAATTTGTGAAATTTGTTCGTTTGAAGCAACAAACGTGCTCAAACTCTAAAGAAGGGTGCTGAACAACTAAACCTGATGAAGTTTCAGCTCAGCTTCAGCTGTATATTCCGAGAAAAACAGCATTGTAGGATCTCCATTTCAAATCAAAAGTTGCTGAATCAGGTTTTGAATTGGGCCTGAATTCAGCATCCGAGACACATTCTCACTGAGCTGATTGCATCTACGCGATGTCGCGCACTGATCCACGAATTATAGCAACCACACGCGTGTGCGTCATGTCAATGCTTGAGCATGCTTCGCTGAATAAAAAAAAAGGAACTACTAACGGAAATTTCCAATGGTGCTTCTTAAGACGCACCGTTGAAAGTGCCTTCTTTTGTTGTTCTCTTCAAATGACAGCTTGCCAAAAAGAATAATTTCACAGGGAGTTTAGTCCCCTTACTATCTTCCAACCAAGTATGTTTTTCAACAATAATTAGGTCAGTTACTTTTTGGATAGCTGCAAATAATGGACTCTGGCTTTAAGCAAGGATGTTTGGCTTGTGCACATTCGTTCGTCCTGTAACTGATGAAATTATGATAGCACCATAAAGCACACTTTGGTTATCATGATTTTTTTAAATAGCATAAATGAGATATGAAACAGGTCTACAGTAACATTTCTGCTCCTACTTACTACCCAAATTTTCAACTGAACATGCAGAAACCAGTAGCATCGGCCCACATGAGAAAATGCACCCAACTGTAACTTCATTACAGCAATGGTATTCAAATTTTCAGTAAAAATAAAGCGTCCATCAAATATGGTAATGTTTTACTGAGGTATAGACTAATTTGGTGAACGAAATTAGAAGCCATTTTTGAGGTGGAACCACATGTGTATTTTGTAACCCTATAGGTCTCGCTCAAATGACGTCATTTCCTACAGATTGCTACGTGCATAGGCATTTTGGGTGTCAGATTTTCGTGACGCACATCGGCTGCGCCGTATTTCGAAGAAGTTTCAAGCAACATTCACTTGTGTTTAGAACATTTTGCACACTGTGCGCACACGTTCCTGATGGTGTTCAACACGCAGTTGTGATTTTCCTACGAAGATAATGTCCTATGAGAGAGATCTATTGGTCGAAGGCGCCAAAAGTGCAACGTGCTATCTAAGCAGGAGCCTGGTTCCGCTTAAAAAAATGGCTTCTAAGTTTGTTCGGCAAATTAGTCTATACTTAGTCCATCCATGCAATTCAAGCTGCTTTTACCTTTTTGAAGACGAAGGGATTCCCATCGAAGACAGGGTTGATGGAGTTGGAGGTCTGTGACTTGGTCTTATAGCGTCTACGCACCGTGTCAGCTGGAAGGCCAAACATGTCCACCTCCACGTATGTGTGGACCCGACGGTCACTCAGAAACTGACCGCTGATGACCTGCACATGATGCAAGAGGTCAAAGGTGACAAGAGGTCAAAGGTGACAAGAGGTCAAAGGTGACAAGAGGTCAAAGGTGACAAAATGTCACAGTGGTTAGCATCCGCTGATAATTTAAAAAAGAAACCAACTACTTCCCCAAATCCGTCAAAATTCATGAGGAGGTTTAGAGAATTTTGTTGGATTGAGGACAGTTGTTGCTTTACATGGGTCTGATGACCTTGAAACAAACAAAATACCTTTGGGTTTCTGCACAGTGATGAAAATTATAAAAATTTAGCGCAGTTCCTTGCCTTTAGAGTTAAGATTAAAGGGCAAAATCGAGACACGGAAAGACTTCTAAACGACTAAACTGCTGCAACCCATAGTTAATATTGAGGTTGTTGGCATTCTTTAAAAAAATTGTGAACAGTAAAAACACAGCAGGAGTAATCTGTTTGAAAACTAATGAAGTCTCACATGACATTTACTATACATTCAAATCATTGAAAATACAAATCCAAACAAATATGAAATATATATGACATGGCACACTATAGTTATTTTTTGTTTCAGAATCAACATATCCGAAACCATTTTGCATAAACAATATATGAATATTTTCATTGTGAATATTCATTCTGCTAAGTTCAGGATAACAGTTAGACTGGTGACATGACATGCAATGCCATCAAGACTTAGTTTTACTGGTGTGGATATTTAAATGCGCTGACCTTACAGCAGAGGTCATTAAAGACAATGACACATTAGCTGCTCTCAGACTCTACATCTAAGTGAGAAATAACTGTTTAGACTGGCAGTCAGTCTGCCTAGCACTTGACGGGTCTCGGGTTCGAGTCCCAACTCACCCTAACTTCCACAGTTGCTGCTACTACTCCATCCATGGTGGACTCAGCAAACGGATCAAAGAGACGGTCCTTACGCCTCATAAACTCCGGCTTGAGGATGTAGCCCGTCCGGCCGTTGATCTCAAAGTAGCCCATGTTGAGCTGCATGGGAAGGTCTGCTCGGCAAGAGAACGAAAGTAGGGAAAAGATTATTCCATACAATCCAATAAACCACAATGGGAAACTCGCTAGGTGCAAAAAAGAAGTTGAACAAAGAAATTGACTGGAGCGGGATTTGAACCTGCAACCTCCGGATTGCCGTTCCAGTGCTCAACCAACTGAGCTATCCAGCCCTATGTTGGTGGTTCCTCAATTTGTCAATATCTTTGTTCAAGGGTGTTTCTCAGAAGCCCAAAACCCAGAGGTCGCCGGTTCAAATCCCTACTGTAAGGAAAACAAAATTTTCATTCAAAATGAAACTATTAATATTTTATTTATTCTTTTTGATTGAGATTGTTTTTCTGGACCATGTTTCCAGAATACCTAAACAACACATTACACATGGTGGCACTGCAGTTCTCAGGTCTGGAAAAACTTCAGAAGTGGCTAAAAATGTTCAGTTTTAGAAATGGAAGAAAAGTCCCGACAAGTACCAATTCTGGGAAAAAACCCACAAGTTCTGCGTCTTTGAGGGATTCGAACCCAGGTTGCAAATGCGAAGTAAATGTGACGTCAGGAAACCTTTGCTGTGAAATATGCTGGCGTTGAAATGTGTTCAACTTTGCAAATTCGCAAAGTGAATACTTGCCGTGACGTCACAAATATGCATTCGCGTTCGCTTTTTAGCAAGGCATAAACCGGCTTTAAGATAATCAGTTTGGGAGTAAAGCACATAAGTAGCAGTACACTGATGCCTTAAAACACGGAAAATCATTGTCTCACCAAGTGTCTGGTAGTTCAATGCAACCATCTGACATCCGACATTCCAGAAAATCTGCAAGAACAAAATATGATGAAAATCAATCATTGTTACATTAATGACTTTACATGAATTTAATTTAATTAAAAGATTCGACACATCTACCCAAATGACCAACATTTTATGTATAATGCAAGTCTCCTAAATAGGCTGCACTACATTAGTTTTGTGCAACTTTTGATTCTATTTTTTTTTTTTTTTTTTTTTTTTTTAATATGTTCCACATGCATCACTCTATATTTCTCATATGATACTCATTCAAATGACAGTGAACTTCCCAACTGGACTTTAAGAATAAAATCAATTGATTTTTAAGGATGAAACGATCCTCAACACAGACTATTTACAGTTTTTATCATTTCATACAATCTGCACAGGCAAGGCAACACAAATGTTCACTTGTTGTCCCCTTTCAACCTCTTTCTCTCAGTCATCTTTTCCGGCCATTACCTGAGGCATGTAGTTGCTGGAATCTACCCTGGTTCCCCTGGGGTAGATACGCGACAGTTGTCTCTTGTTGTAGCTAAGAACAATTAGTGAAGGAAATTTTAAAAACCTGCTTCTTGAACGTTCTGAACACATAATGAGCCTAAAGTACTGTATTAAACATTTCCGAGGATGTACTCTACATTCTCCTGACGACGGGTAGAGCATACTGTTCGAAACGTTGAGTCCCTCCGGTTCTTTTCAGAACCACACATACTCACAAAAGAGATTTATTCACATGGTGCTACTGCAAACTTATCTTGTCTTAGTACTCTACATTTTTTTGAATAGTAACAATTTTGTGCTTGTAGAAGTACACACACCAGAACAGTTTTTTAAGTTAGAATGTTGACAAGCCACAACGTTTTTTTTTACACTTGGAACATGTTTGAAATAAACTTGAACTGGTTTTGTCATGTGAAAGAGGTACCTAAAAATCACTTCAATCACAGTGCTGTTGATGAGGTTTTTCTCTAATACTCCAAAACACAAGGTTGTGGATGTATAGAATCATAGCCTGAGAAACTAAGAAGACTGAGAATCTTAGAAATTGGACAAAACTGTTTTTGAAATTGTCCAGGTATCTGCACGAGGAGCATCAAAAAAGGTCCAAGTATCTGCAAAAGGTCCGAGTCCATTGGCAAATATTTGTAAATTTCTCAGTAAAAAAGAAACAATAGTAAAAAAGAAACAATAAAGAATGAAGTAAAAAAGAAACAATAAATCGACCAAAAGTTCACGATGAAAACACTGAAAGTCGGGGAAAATTGGAGGCACATTGTGTCGAAATGCAAAGGATACTTGGTGAATTGGATGGGGTTCTCCTTGACTCTGTTCATTGCCGACGTCTCAACAAAGGAAGAGATCTCATAACTGCGATTTCTCTCTGAAATATAAAGATGTGAGATACATGAGGACTGATCAATCCCACATTATGCTTAAGGGAAGTCTGCGAACTGTTTGCTGGGCCTGTTCCTTTCACGACAGTTTTGATATTATTCTAGAAAAGTTTTGAAAGGTGGGTTTGGAATTTTTCATATGGATTGACTGTGGATTGACTTGTATTTACTGATCAACAGAGATAGTCGCACTCATCACAAGTCCAGTCCTAAGTCAAGTCACAAGCTACTCAAATAAACTGTAAATGTTCATGCTGTAATGTACGCCACAACAGGTAATTTGTGACTTACTTGTGGTCGGACTTGTGATTGACTTGTTTTCAACACTGCCTTATGTAGCACCTTTGATTTAGTTGTGACCTTTGTGTTGGGCAAAACCTCAACACTGTTTTATACACAGTGTAGCTAACAACTTGTGATTTATTTGTGACCGGATTTGTGATGGACTCAAATTCAACACTGCAGCTTACAATTGGTACAACACCTCAACGCTAACCAATCTTTGATAAACTTAAACCTCGGATGAAGAAGCAATGTGCATCCCACACACAACACTCCATCCTGTGTGTTAACAATTTGTACTCCAAACTCATTCCCGCAAGGAATCAGACTTACTTTCAGCAGCCTCGAAGGTATGGAAGTGGACAGGCTGTATGTAGTTGACCAGGGCAGACATCTCTCTGCCAGCCTCTGCTTCCTGACCTGCTGTACCCTGTTCAGAATTTTTAAAAAGAAAGAAAAATCAGAGAAGGCAAGAGTGGTAATAATGGTAAAAATGCTGCAAACATTGAAGTTGAACACATACTATTTTGTTCAAGCTATAAGATTCTCAGGTCCCAGCACAGTGAACCATTTTACTAGATAACTTTATCCAAAATCCAGAATTATGTTGTCTGATCAGGTTTTTCTGATTCATGAAAATCACTCTTAGTATTCCTTGCTATAAATAAACCACAACGTATTTCTATAAACGCTGTATACTCAGTGCTGACCCAAGTGATTGTGAGAAGAATCGCTTGGGTGGGACTTGAACCTACGACCTCCTGCTTACTAGTGCAGATGTCTTACCACTTGACCACCAAGCTTGCAGGGGTCGGCCAGCCAGCCGACCCCGGTGAGCCCGGTCTGCACTAATAAGCAGGAGGTCGTGGGTTCAAGCCCCATCCAAATGATTTTTGTCTCACAATCACTTGGGACAACATTTGAGTATAACGTGTTTATAAAAATACGTCGGTGAAGGGCAAAACCCAATATTGAATTGAACTCGTATAAAAATTTTACACCCCTTCCACAGAATGCTTCCAAATATTCAAAAGTTCGATTTTTGTCAGTCACTACTCTCAAAGTTTTGGAACATTGGCAAATTAAATAAAGGATGTTTGGCTTATGAATATGCATGGGGAACAATTCTACCTTTTCCCTCTTCTCCATCTGATGGCGCTGGGCCTCCTCTTTGCTCATGTTCTCCTCGTCATCATCGCTGTCGCTTTCTTCTTCAACTTCATCCAAGGTGTCACTGGGCGTTTTACTCATACTGCTGTCTACACTCCGTTCACTGTCTGTGGAGAACGTCTTCGTGGCTGGAATGGAGGCTAAAGGGGGGGGGGGTGAGCAGGTATTCAGGGTCACAGAAGAAAATAAGACTCATCAGATGAAATGGGAGTGTCGAAAGACAAAACACAGGCTGTATCCTGCATGAGAGGTTCAACTCTAAAAGTGTCCGACGTTCAGCAATCTTAACACCTGGAGCATACCACAGACCGGGGCCGTCGCTAGAGGGGGGGGGGGGGGGTGGAGGGGGGTTTGACACCTCCATTCGAAATTTTTGTGGGTAAATCCATAATTGTTGTCTTTTTAATATTATTTTACTGTTGTCGGCAAAGTTTGAAATCTGAGGACCTTTTTTCTTTTGTTTTTTTTGCTTCTCAAATATTTTATTGCATGTTTGTCGGCAACCTTTACCTTTCACACCTCCCATAAATCTTTCTGTAAGCAAATTTGTAAATTTGAGGGACTTTTTTGTTGTTGGTTGGCTTGTCGGATGTTTTGCATGCAAACTTTTCAGCAAATTTGGTCCCACACCCGTCCCCCATTGAAAATGTTCTAGCGACGCCCCTTCTACTGACTAGTTAAGCGGACTTGTGGTCAATTTCTCACAAGTCAATCACCAGTCCATCATAAGCCAATCACAAGCCAAGTCACAAGCTTTTCCAATGAATTTAGACAAAGGCAATCATTTGTCACTTTATTGCGTTCCTAAATTCTAAATTTCCTTGTGAGTTAACTTGTGATTCACTAGCGAATTGACATGAACTATGACTCAGAATGGACTTGACCACAGTCGTGATACATGAGGCTAGTAAATAGTGTGCCGAATTGTCAAACACAGCACGGTGCTGCAAAAGAAAACGCAAATCGGTGCTTTTAAAAGCAAATGCATACAGAGTGATATCTTGGCACTCAGTCAGCTTCGATCACTGCTTTTAGAATCATACCGGTGGTGAAAATAAAAAGTAAGAAACAGCCAGTGATAAAACCCAGAAAAATGGTTTCTCCAATTTAGGCTACTCTACGGAAAGAAAGCCTCCTTAGATGATTCTGCTTATATTTCTTGTGAACAATGAGGTACAAAAAGAAAAGAAAAGACACATATACAGACAGAGCGACAGCCCGACTGACAGACAGACAGCGAACACTGAGGAGACACACACATCAATGTCAGCATAGTAGAGATAGGAGCAACGGAACCCCAAAAAGTGAAATTGTATAAGTGGAAAGTCATGAAAAGAGGCAGTTAAAATGAGGAAAAAATGTGAAAAAAAACAGCTAAACATATCAACAAGACACAAAGAAACATTGCTGTAAGAAGCCAAAGTTTACCAATTGTGTCTAAATGTCCACTACATGAATACTATTCAGCCAATTCCTAGAAATTACCTTTCAATTTAATCCAGAAATCACAAATCCATTGAAATCACAAACTTTCAATCGTGTCAAAAGGTAACAGACCAAAGTGTGCAAAGCACTTTTATAATATTCAGAAAAGGGTGTTGATCAGAACAGGTGATAGACGAAGAATTTCTTTTTTTTCTCAAAGAGAAGCTGAGTTTCTTTGGCATAATACAGTGTGTCTAAAGAATCCCGCATCCAAGAATGGCCAATGGAAAAGCTTGTAAAAAGTGGAGTTTATAGGTGGTATATATGAGGTGTAAAGAAACTGCAGGGTGCATGGCATGAGGATGTAACCATAATATGTAATAAGTATTAAAGTGAGGATTAAATATTGTAGCGAGTGGGCCAATATCATAGAACTGCCAAGTAGAACAGAATTGCTGAGGAATTTAGACACGGTTTTCATCATCCGATGAAAACATCTATTCATTTGCACACCATTTTTCATCGGTTGCTGTTACCATTCAGCACTCCAGACTCAACAGCCATTCAGTTTCAAGAACATAGGTCTGGGAGCTAGATGAGCCAATGTAAAACATTCCCGGATGTCAGCATCTACCTAAGTTTTCTTAGGTCCATTGCATATTTGGAATATACAATGTACTACTTCTTGTGATGTGATGGTGACAAGAGATTCATGTACTAACTTTTCCAATTACCCACCGATAAGACTGCATAGATAATGTTCTTTGCCAATGAGAGTTGTAAAGGTTCCTGAAACCTCTACTCCTCAGAAGTGCGAAACTTTTTATTGAAAAATATGACCTTTTTTTCATGGCAGCCATCTTGGGGTGCCGTGCTCTTGTGCTTTTGTTAAAGGTACGCAAGAGCAGACCTCATGTGCAGCTATTCATTATAACAAAAACACAAAGTTGGCCACTTTATGCGAATGCTCAATGTTCAATTTTGTTTGTGAATGTATCGCTAAAATCACATTTTTATGTCCTCCGTTAGTAACAAATATGGACCCAGTCTATACTCCTACAAGTACAGTGCACTACTGCTCCCGGAAGCCCCTTACAAAAACTATGCTTTTCAGTTTTCTGAAGGAAAAGTGAAATTAAAGAAACCAAGGATTGTTTTCTTCAGCAATTTTCTTCAGTCAGGCAGCTCCATTCAATTGGGTTATTGTAACAAAGCACCAAGCCCACCAAACGCACTTACCACTCCGTCCTAGGGAAATAACTGAAAAGAACAGAACCTAATTTATTTATTTTTGTTTCATCTCAATATATATTTTTTTACACTTCCAACAAACACGGTAAAAAATCTAGAAATAATATAATACCATGGCATCTGGCATATGACACTGCAGGGTGAATATAATATTTTTTTTCAAAAACTAGTGCAGGAATGCTTTTCAACTTTATTGTTTATTGTTTTTAAATTTTTCCCTGTGAAACAGGGGTGAAATTGGGGAAAACGAAAAATCCACAAAGTTATCGGCTCAGGGTTTGAGGGTTGTCAAGGGCCCCCATCCATCCTTAAAGTACCCATTTCTTGTGTTTTATATAAACTCTTATAATAAAAAAAAAACATGTTTAGGCCACCAAAAAAAGTCTCCGGCTTCTGGTATGGAGCTTGTCCATAAAGTGGTGCGGCGACGCGGCTTTTTTTTTTCCTTACTTTTTTTCCTTCAAATTTCACCTGATGACTGCAAATGGTCCCCGACTGAATTTAGTGCAAAATGCATGGGAGCCCAGAGAGGCCACATAAAGCTTATTCTCGACCATAACCCCATCTAAAAACACGTTAAAATTGTGCAGCAGCAGGATTCCAGTCAAACCAGTGAGTTTGGCAGTTTTGAGACATCATCTTACATTGAAAAGAAAACTTTTTAAATTTGCCGACGTGCATGGCTACGGTGACGCGCCCGCAGACCAGACATCGGAACCTTTTTTTTGGCCCTGATATTAGGGAAAAATCCGGGCAAAAAATCTTGAAATAAGGAAAAAATACCGACAAAAAATCTTGAAATCAGAAAAAAAACTGACAAAAAATCCTGCAATCAGAAAAAATCTTGACAAATCTCACCCCTTAATTTAAAATGCAAAAAGTTGCAAACACTGCAATACATGTGATTACCACACAAAATTTATTTGTATAAAAGAATAAACTTGTCTTTATCACATTCCACTATAACAAACTGCACCGGTACACTGAACAATCAAACACGTAAAAGACTATGCTATAAACCTTCGTGCAGTAAATATGAGAAGTATCAAAAGTGCATCAATGAGTAAACCATGAACACCGAAAATAGAATTTAAAAAAGAAGAAAAAAAGAAGAAAGTGTTTTGTATTCAAACATTGGTTTCCATGCATGTATCCCATTGGGATTGCTTTATTTGCAAGAAGTGTGAATAAGACTTAGATTAGACTTACTAGAGTAGGCCTAACATTTCCAGAAACAATCCAAATCCATGAATAAAGAATCCATTTAAGTTTTAGGACAATTAAAACCTTATGTTTTTCATGGGAATTTTTCGTAATCGCATGACCGCATTACAATGCGTGATATCTGAAGTTTTTAACTCATTATTGAGAATATTTTTGAGTAAAAAAAAAATTCTTTTCCAAACCACAAACACAGTTTCATGAAGCCTAATTAATTCATGCATTCAAATAATAAAGAAAACAACCCTTTATTTGCTCCTGAAAGGTTTGTTGATAACTGAAAGCCAACTCTGCATTCAAGTCTATACACATCTGAATAACAATTTGATTTTTCCACACTGCCTACTACAAGTGCATGAAGCCACATGTAATATTCCTGGACATACAGAAAATCACTTCATATTCGTGCCGTAGAAACTTTAAAAGTTGAATTTTATAGTTCAACTATTTAACCTGTGCTTATGCACATTCTAAATGCCAACCTTTTTTTCTATTTTTTCCAAAATAAAACACTTAATTTGGCAAAACACAACTGTTTCTGAAATAAAAGTAACAACTGGGTGTGAACATTACATATAAAAAAGCAGACTATATTTGTGTGAGCGTGTAGAGCAACACTGATATTGTTATATATGCTGCCAAAATAGAGTGCCTACTAGTGACTGGGCAAATAGCGGCAGCTATGGTGATGCTATACAAAGCAACACAGACTGTTTCCTTGTCTTGCTGCCTCAGAAACTTGCATCATTATGTGGTCATGACTATAATGAATATTCATGAGCTATACCAAATGACCTTTACATTCCGTGTGAGAAAAAAACCCCAAGATGGCGGAAAATCATGGACAATCATTGAAAATGAACAACTCAAGCTGAGACTGAAAATGCTTCTGAATGATGGGAAAAAAATGGAATTCGTGATCAAGGAGGAAGGATCGAAATGGAGATCATTTTCCGATGCAAGCTTCTGAGACTGACGTCGAAAAAATAAGCGGTCGACAAGAGAGCACATTTTTTTTTTACCTTCTGAAAAATTGGTTTCCTCTCCCTGACCAATGGTGGAGAGATTTGACATGGTGTGTGAAACACGACGCCTGGCTACGGGTGGGGAAAATGTCCAAAAGGTCAAACAAACTTGGCCTCATTTTGAGTTTGGAATGAATGGAAAAATCAATGCTACATGCTGCATATAATGATGTTAGTACACGAGGGTTATTTTTTTGTACAGGACAAGCTCCTACACTAGCTGTTGCAAGGAAGAAGTTTGATTTGATGTGTTGTCATGTGGAGAAATCCTGTGGATAAAGAAAATGCACGAAATTGGGAGAAAGAGAAAGCAGATGATACCAAACATGTAGATGGTGATGACCTGTGCAGCGTTAGTCTCTCATAAGAATGTGCAATGAACTCCACTGCAAGAAAGATATCACCAAGTGTATGTTAGTAATAACTCCCTGTCACCTCTAAGGAAAGAACAGTAATGATGAAGGATGAGTTGAAAGGTGGCACGTGAAGAACAAAAGGGATTGAAGGAGTTTGATTGTTACCTCGTTTGGGTTGGCTTTCCGGAGCGGCATTTGGCGCAATTTCTGTACTGGCTAATATGGACAAACAATTTTTATTTCAAACAAAATCAAGGGAAACCTGTACTTATCAAGGCTCAATTAATGTCCGAGTTTCTCAGTTTGTTTTAAAGTTGGGTTAAACAATCAAGATCGTGTGATTCTTTTTCTCAGACCACGAATCTGCAAATTACTTTGGACTGTGATTTAGTTTGTACATATTGATTTGATTTTTGTTCTGCCTTTGCAATTAATTGTGTTTTGTTCATTCTGTCTGGATGACGAAATTACACTCAACCAATCTACTCTTGCAAACACACAAAACTTGCGGAAGCGGATTTTTTTTTTAAATTAATTAAATAATACTAGGCTATTGCTTTCTCTAAAAAAAAAAAAAAACATATATAAATTGGAAATGCCGACTGTTTCACTGCCTTCAACATGACAGGCACCTCGATGAAAAACTTTCAACTGTTGTGGAATAAAAGTGTGTGAATAAATTGCCGACTTGCTAGCTAGCAGGGTGACTACTGACTAGCTTATGGCTGTTTCTTTCTCTCTCAAAAAACATGGATACCTTTGCGATTTGTATTTTCATCCTTGGCTCGGGACATATTGAGCGTTTCACCGCCCTCTTCATCCTTCTTTGGCAGCTTGGGGCTGGGCCTAGGGCTGGGCCTGGGGCTGGGCTTGGGGCTAGGCTTGGGGCTAGGCATGGGGCTGGGCCTGGGGCTGGCCGAGGGACTTTCCCGAATCTTGTTAATCTGACCTGTTAAAACAAGACAACACGCCCTTCACTCATCAACTGAACACATTTGAAAAACTAAACAACCAAAGACATCAAAATTTGTTTAGTTTGTTACTTTTCATACAAGGATTACAAAATTACAAAATGATATTGCCTTGAATCCACGGTGATTTCATTTTGGCATTTTGGCAATTTCTGAATTTATGGCGACTTGATTACATTAACGGGATTTTATCTCAAATAGCAACAGATCCAAATGACGCATGTAGACAAAAGAATCGATTTTCAAAATACCTAAGAGTAATTTCCAAATCATCTCACTAAATGTGCTTTTGAGATATCCACACAACAAATATTTCATTAGATATAAAAAAAGACATCTACAAATTGTGAAAGTTAAGAAACCCCTTCACCAAAAGTTATGCGTTTCTAAAAATGAGAAAAGATTATTGAAGATTCTTGAAGAAATCTGTAAAAAAAAAAAAAAAAAAATATCTGTCACCCAGGTGACCAATGAAATAAATAACAGTGATTGCATGCAAATTTTCACATGCCGCTTCCACCATATTGAAGAGATCCAATCACCACGTGCAGCTACAAAAATGGAGGGAAAATGTTAAGATTATTTGAAATTCAAAAATGTGAAATGTTTAAAAGATTGAAAGAAGGTTCATGGAAGATGTATTATTCGGTTTTGTTCAAAACCAATGCAAAAAAAAGTTACTTCTAATGTTTGTAATTTCATTTGGCATTGTGCATGAATGGTACAGCTCATATTTCCTGGAGATCCCAATTTTATAAGACATTGGCATGCATATTAAACAAAGAAATACATAATCTTGGGAATTAGTGGCTGCTAGGAGAAAAAGGGTGCAAATTCTGGGAGGAAAAACCCTAAAAGGACCCTTGAGAAAGCGTTACCTTCCTCTCCCGCCATGTCAATGGCCGGACGTTGGAATTGACCAACACGCCGGCTTTTGGTCACCACTGACCCCTCTGGACGAACAAACAAACAAATAAAGGAAACAAAATCGATTGACTGTAAGATAGTCAAGTTTAAGGGTTCTTTTTCAGCAAACTCTGTGTTGAGGCCATGAGATCTTTAGAAAGTGACTATTACAAAAAATTATTTTTGACAAAGTCCATTTTTTATTGGGGGAGGGGGGGGGGGGGCTGAAGATGTCATTTTAAACTGGTGAAATTATCCAGGCAAATGCTAGCTATGACTTGTGTGAATGATTGAAATGAAGGACAGGATTCCACATTTGTAACGTTACACGCCGTTAATATGGAGATAGTCTGGTACCTTCAACTATGGGTCGCTCGGACGGCTCTTTGCTACAGCTCTCGCGGTGCCTGGTTAGAACTGAAAATCAAAATGGCAACAATTTCAATCCTAGCACTCACCCTCACGGATGAAAAAAGTCAAAATTATCAACTTGGCTAAAACAGAAAGGACCATTAAGTAAGAAAAATAAGAATCGATGTTTACATTCTCACTGAAGAATAAGAGTGTTAAAAAAAGAATTCGGACTTGTGCTGAAAAAGTTGTAATGACCACTTGTAGTTACAATAAATACCTACCTAGTAAAAACCCTACAAAAACTAGATAAAAATCAGTAAAGGTGCTTCTTTAGGGGAAAAAAATCTCAGAATTTACCAGATAAAAACATAAAACTATGCTGAGTGAGACATTGTTTGAAAGCCAAGAGTGAAACAAGTAAGTATACGAAGCTATCCAACACATAGTCAAAACAACAGGTAAAAGAGTAAAAGTGCCGGTTAAAAAACCAAAAATATTTCTGACGCACACTCCTATTTAATTTTTCGTTCTTTGTAAACATCACGCATTTACCTTCCCCATTGGTACTGTCTATGCTCGATCGTTTGCTAGACTGGCTCTCTCGACGTTTGGACGACACTGGAAGATTAGGAAGTCGATATTACTGAACTTTTTTTTTATTAGAAGTTAAAGTTTTGAATGTATAATCTTGTTTTTGATTGGCCGATGACTGTTTAGTGTGGAAAAGCTCTGAATGAATAGCAAAAGCCGTGGAAGATGAAAGCAACGTCAACAACTATTTTAAACGGTTGGTTGGCAAGCTCATAAAGATGATCGTCCACTGTTGTCTGATGCTCAGATAAGACTGGGATAGCTGGAGTAGCTCTGACTCCACTTTGTTTCAATACCACACCAAATATCTCTACAGTGTTAAAAGAAACACATCATTTCTTCCTTATTGGGAGTTATTGCATGTTGTAAATTTGTAAAATGCAGGCATGGGCATCGCCAGGATTTTTTCTAGGGGGGAGGGGGCAAAGCACATTTTCCCCCAAATCCTTGTACTTTCGCTAGCATTTTCTCAATTTATCATTTTTTCGAGGGTGGGCGGGGGGACATTAGTCCACCCCACCCCCATTGACTCCTGCAGACGCCCTGTGCTTTACTGTTTCCACTTTCTGAATTTGACACTGGTCTTTGTATACACCAAGCGACATTTTGTTTATGAAATTGGATGTTGTGGTCACGTGATGCCAACTTCCAGCAAATGGTTCTCTTCGGCACTGCATGTATGTCTCTTGAAATATGAATGGTTTAAAAAGTGTTGAAATTAATGTGGGCCAAATAACATGCAAGAGATGAAAATGTTTGTGTTGCCCAGCGGTAGCCTGTCAGCATGGCGTCCCAGGGCACATGGCCTTTAACTCTCTTTCCAAGTTGCACAAGCAGCAGCAGTTTTCCTGGCTCCAGAAGACAGGACTTACATAACCGTGGAGAAATAACCCATTGAGTTCCTGTACAACACCAAACCACCTGCCTGTTACTCCCTATAGACCATTATCATGTTGATTTTTTTTTTCCCATTCAGATCAATGTAACCAAAGCGAGGCTGGAAGGAAAAATAGTCTGGTTCCTTTTTGTACAAAAACATTATTATACAGTACTGTTATTGGATACAGGGAACATGACTACAATGGTGGAAGCATGATAAAGGTCTATACCATCCTAGACTGCCCCAGCACCAGATGGTTTTATGTTCTCATCATGAAATAAATACAATGTAATACAATGTATACATGGTGCTTATAGGTTAAAATACAAAAGGAGTGAACACATCTCGTCATTTTTTGGTGATGACTAGACTACTCTATGACTAATTTGTTTTTTTTAGTAGATAATTCCAAGAAAAGGCAGGAAGCACCTATACTCCAAAAGGACTCTTGACACAGAAAATAAGACTATAGGAAAGCAGTGGCGCACCCAGGATTTGGTTGGGGGGGGGGGCTCAAAAAAAAAATCCCCAATTTTTTTGGAAGTTAAATTTTTCTTCAAAACATTTTGCCCAATTTTTTGGCTGCAGAACAAATTGGGTTTTTTTTTTGGGGGGGGGGGGGGGGAGACGGACTATTTTGACGTTGGTGGCACCACTTACATCCCTATTATACTACCCGAAAATAAGCCAAATACATATCACCAAGGTCAAATCGTGGGACTAAAAAAAAATCCACCCCCAAAAAAAAAAAAAAAATTGACAATCTCTTGGGGGGCTTAACCCCCCCCCCCCCCCCCCCCCCCCCCCCCCCCCGGTGCGCCACTGTAGGAAAGGAATATGAGATCGATGGAGCTTGTTGATGAAGCTCTTGGAAGACTGTGGGTTGTTGGATGGTGGGAAGCACGATTGTGGTAGAGAGTTCCACAATTTGGATGTGCAGACAATGAAGGATGATGAGTGGGATACAGTAGGGTACCTAGGTATCAAGACTGTGAAAGGGTGAGCATTGGTGGCGGGTCTCGTAATCTAATGTAATTTCTGTAAGTGAATGAGGGATGGTTAGTTTTTCAGAAGGCAACTTTGCGGCGGGAACGGCATTCTTATTGGGAGCAACACACAAGCTCTGCTGCAAAACCAAGCGACAGTTATTGACATAAAACTTCGCAATTCGCATTTTGATATTCTTTATAACAATGACTTATCAACAAACATGTTTCAGGTTGTTGCCTTTCCCAAAATAAAACATAAAATTGCAATGCTAAAAAATGTATATAAAGCGGATATGATTTTCTTCTTGTAAAAAGAGTGGATTTCTTTTTTTCTTTTTTTTGCTTTTGAAGCGCAAGCAAAGCTGATAGCTCTTTTGCTCTTCAGTTCATCTGCAACTGTCAATGGTCACTAGCATCAAGCACAAATGAGCATAAAGACTAAATACCTGTTTTTAAACATGATGTCAAGTCTAAGTACTGGGCAAATTTATATCAAAATTCAAGTGAAGTGTGCATCTTATCTATTTGTGCAACAATTGTTTCTTTTCTACAGCACCAGCCAAGCCTTTTGATCTCCAAACTCCACAAAGAAAAGTAAATTTGTTCTTTTTTTTCACAAAATGTGTTCCTCTACATTTTAAAGCCAACATTAGCACCCTCCACCACAGCAAAATGAGAAAAACTCTCTCGGGAGATTCGTTACCTTCGCCATCCATATTTGGACTTAACGTTTGGCTCTCGCGACGTAACTTATTGGACACTACTGACACTGTACAAAGAAAAGGAATGAGACTGATTGATTATCAAAGGGTCAGAGACAACGATGGACGCATACTGTCAACTGTCAAAGCTAAAATCCATTCAATACCTTTCATTCAAAACTGGGTCATCTTCATTCAAAACTGAGTCATCTTCAGCATAACATCATTGTGAAAATCCTTCATGTTTATCTTTTCTTCATTTAGTAATACCTTGGACACTTCACCTGTTGCTACTGGTCAAAAGCCAATCAAGCGGCTGGTTTAAAACTGCCATTTAAACACTGCTGAGAAGCGTTTCAAACTGGTTGAGAAATCCCAGAGTTATAAACTGATGTTTAAAGGCAACTAGGGCCTTCGGCTCAAGCCAATATCCCTGACCAGGCCCCTATTCACTTTTAAACCAAACATTTAACTGCTCCATCACACTACTATCTTCATATATATAAGATGTTCCAAAAGTCAAAGTAATTCAACACCTGATGGGCACAAGTAATTACGGTACACTGCGAAGCATTTGTTAAATATCTTCTTACCATCCACACAATTTTATAAGCTACAGAATTATGGGATTTTTTTCGCACATTACCAGAAGAGAAGAGACTTCCAGTAAATTGCACACAAAAAAACAACAATCAAGACTACAGCACACAGAGAGGACTAAATGTTTATATGTACATTAAGCAGCAGCAGAGAGAATTGTCTGTTTATAGGCTACAGATTATGGCGATAGGTCAGGAGAGGACAATGTTTAGTAATACGTTACGTTGAGAACTTTACAATTTATGATCTGTTCTTGAAATGAATTAAGTAGTTGTATGATAAGCCCTTTTCATGATTGACTGCGCAGCATGGTTGGAGAGAGAAATGGGTCTTACGCACTGGCTATTGATGTCCTTAGACAACTCAGTGAAAAATCAATGAAAAATTGCACTATACACAAAACTTTATAATACGTGCAAATGCCAACCACAGTCAATGCATACACTTCATCCAATCACCTCAACTACATGAAGCATATTTTTTGGAAAACCTCTTTTTTTGGCCACTGAGGTGTTTGTTTCCGGAACAAAAAGTAGGGTACCGGTAGGCATCTGATAATTCAATAACTTTTATGCAGCTTACATGTAAACAACAAGTAATTACTCACTGTCAAAAAGTACACTTAAATAATATGGCAAAAGCTTGGAAACATGTCAATGGGCAACGGTAGTGACAAATCAATTTTAATTTATTATTAAGCTATTAATGGTTTGGTAATTAGGAACTTCAAATCTAAATAAAAATTAAACATGCAGGATAAAAATCAAAACTGAATTAAATCTGAATTTAATACTGAAAAACGAAAAATGCGAAAAAGGAAACAACTCATTAACTCAACATACATGTACAGAACTCTGTGTCAAGGAAGAGGCATGAAAGACAATAATGATTAATACATGTCATGTGAAAAATTCTGATGCGAAATTAATCGTAGGCTGGTGAGAAATTGAAATTCAGTGGAAACTGCCAAATTTGACAGGATGAATCCTGGAAAATCTGAAATTTTGAAGCAACTGGACAATGCCAATGTTATGTAATGTCCGTGACAGAGCTTTCAGAGTAAAAAAAAAGTGAAGTCTGTCGCGAGCCAATGTGGCTCATCAGGCCGGCGTTTATCTCTGGTTTCAGTAGCATGAAACAATTGAGAATATTTCTACTCCCCCTGGATGGGATGTTAGTCCATCGCAGGTTACTCCCCAGCTAATGCCGGTACCCATTTATACTCCTGGGTGGAGAGAGGCTAGTGGGGGTGAAGTGGCTTGCCCAAGGACACAATATTTGACCAGCAATTGGATTCGAACCCCGGACCCTCTGATCATGAGTCACGAACCCTAACCACTAGGCCACACACTCCCCCTGTCTGTAATCTCCTTGACCATTACCTTTTAGAACTCGGTGAATAAACCTGAAAATGATTTTTTTTTTAATCTTATAAATCCATCATCTGGTAATGGTCAAAGAAACTAGGAGTTTTTGTCATTTCTCTGAATCATTAATTAGATATCATAGTTAAACTGGCTCTGTCACGGACATTACACATCCTTCCATAAATGCTGGAATTGCCAAACTATGAAAATGAGGAAAGAAAAAAACACATACCAATGAAAAATCTCATACAAAAATGTGATGCGATCAAGCTACATGAGTCATTTGTCGATCCTGGTCAATTTTTTTTTTATTACAGATTTGAAAAGAGCACAATCTCAACATTGCTGCTGCTGCTGGTACCATCTTTAGTTCCAAAATTATGGAAGTTGGAACACCAAGAGATGTGATAAAGTGGCCCTATTTTGGCCTGTATCTCTAAATAAAAATTCCCGACGAACGACTCATTTAGCTTGATTGCATCACAAATGTATGTGTAACATCATGTAGAATGACAACATAATCTAAGAACAAAATAAATTGCTTAAGATGAAGTCAACATTTGTATCAGGGTGATAAAACAAAATGAAGCATGGCCTGTCGACGTAAAGAAAAGCACTATGGTTTAGAATTCAAATCTGGACGGAAATTGTACAAAAAATTGGCATGTTCAAATAATGTGAGTTAGTCGAGGGAAACCTGGAATAGTGTTAAAAGTTCCTACGATCCAAGATCCCTAAAAAAACACCAGGAGATTTTTTTTGAAGTTTTTGTGGGATTGAGGAGGGTTAAGCCGATCAGTGTTGTTTCACATGGGGCTTGGAGTTCCATGTAAAGTTCCATTTCAAAGAACATGTACAGTGGTGAATTTTGGAGGATTCAGGATGGTTTCTGGCAAAAATGTCCATATAAATATTATATGGACATTTAAATATTTTTATCATCCACATTCGGCTCTTCTGTTTCTGACACTTTGGCCAGGTCTTTAAAGACTGAGGTACATTTCCGACATACACATACAATATGACTTCCACCAATTCATGTTCTACAAACTTTTTGAGAATGGACTCTAAATTCCCACAACATGGTGATAAAAGACAAAACATAAAGTAGACAGATATTACATGTAGCTATAAGTAATTATGTCTGTTTATGTTCGTTTATGACCGTTGCTTAAGCAATGCGAGTACAAAATAAAAAACAAAACAAAAGATAACAAAAATGTAAGAAAACACGTTGATCATTCTCGGCCGAGATGAAAAGCGATGAAGGCAGATGATGAGAGAAGTAGGAATAAGTCTTTTGCGTTACCTTCGTGATCCTCAGATGAAAAAAGGTCATTATCTTTTTCGTCGATCTGAAGTAGCTGAGACCGTTTGCTTGCTTTTCTGGAGACTATAAAGGCATCAGTGTGGGTCAATTGTGGAAAGAGTAAAGAGTATAAACTTTTTTTTAAAATGGTTTGGTCAAGAAATGCCATTTGCCTTGAGTGGCGGAAATACATGTTGAAGATTTGGTTAGGCCAGCATTTTTTTATTTATTTGATTTTTAATTTTTATTTATACATCCATGCATGTGTAGTATGTACATGTACATGTTTAAACACACGGGGGTATATGATATATGCCACTATTGTTTAATTATGAAGGAACCATTTTTAAACATTAACTCTATGTACATGTAGATTTTTTATTTCTGAAAAACGCTGCTCTGGTCTGCAACATGACAAAAGGGAATGTACAACACTTCAGTCAGCTCGAGGTCAGATACAGTTTTTACGTATTTTAGAATTGACAAACACAACTTAAGTTCATTTTTTTTCTTGTGATTAACAATGGTTCATTATGAATGTGGCTCCTGAATTCAAATGTGTTTAGTACAATACCAAAACAACGAAGGACAGACAATTAACTGCACGACAATAATTATATGCAAGAAATCAACCATGAAGTTAAGTAGTGGCACTCTTCAATACTTGAAATTGAATTATGACAATAGATGGTAGAAACGAATTTGCTGTTAAAAAAAGAAAAGTTCAATATGACATTATCGATTGATAAGATAATGATGCCGAAATGAGAAAAAATCATCTTGTTCTATACCTCCTCGTGTTATTTTGGCCGTCTCACTGACAGAAACCTCGCTGTCTATGGACGACTGGCTGTTTAACCTACGACCTGTCCCTGTGTCAAAGGTCACAAATTTTAACATCTACTCTTTAAACACAATGTCAAAAGTGTTGTTAGCTGTGTTTCGTGGAAGTATAACTGAAAATGTTTGAAGCTGAATGTTTGAACTTAGACAATGCAGACAATCATACCATGCCATTATTCAAGCTTTTGCAACCAAAAGTAATGTTGGTGATGTTTTAGTTTGTAGTAATCAAAAATATATTTTTAAAAGAACAAAATATGGCACAGCTGTCTCTTTCAATCAAAATAAAGTTGCATATTGTTTTCATATCTGAAATCTCCATGTTATGCTGAAATGTATTTGTGATGACTGCAACATAATGTGAGAAGACGTAAATGGATATAACAGCATGAAATATGTGACCTGCTCAGCCAAAACTAAAAAAAAAACCAAAAAAAAAAACAAAGAAGAGAGTCTGTTGGATTCAAGTTGCTACTTTTTTAGTCAACTACATGAATGAAAAGTAATGGAAAATAAGCTTTTTTTATAAGGGGCCTGCCTTATCCTTTTAATTTCTAACTGAGCCAGAAATAAATCAGGCTTTGCCAACTAACAAATACATTGTACAAACATGTAGCTCAGAAAATTTCCTTGGGGGGGGGGGACCTGAACTGTCACACAACAACTATCACACAGGCAAAAGTTGGATTTATTGGAAATAAGAGAGCACCAATTTTAAGAGAGACTTGTTTTTGCAGAGTGGGTCACATATTATGGGGTCATGCAACTTAATAGTTATAAGCTGTTTATGTATGGGTTATATGCTTTGTACCATAGGATACTTTGATAGCTAAAACATATATGTTTTGCAGATGTAGTGATCATGTTAAGGTAAAGAGTTTCAGATGAAAAATAATTATACATTTGATGTCTGTCTGATGAGAATTTTTTTAAAGGTTTTGATTTAAACCCAAAAAAAATCAGATAAAAAAATACCGAACCAGACGTTTAGAGCCTGTTCTGTTTCTGAACTGATCCGGTTTAATAACAGATGATGTTATGATAACCAGTTTTTAAGTTGAAGTTGGTGAAATAATCAGCATTTCATGTCAATGAACATTGCTGACAACACCACTATTTGGCAATTGTGTGTTTATGTGACAGATGAATAACGTTGATTCCTCACAACTTTAAAAAGCAATTTGTCATATTTGTCGGTTAAAAAAAAAAACAAGGAAAAAAAGACTACAATAATGTACTGTGGGAAAAAAAGTGTGTATGCATTCCGATTGGTTTTGATATAATTCCAGGGGTCACTGATTTTATCCTCCCTAGGAATTCGCATGAATTATTTTAAGTATCATTCACTACCTTATGTTATGCAAGTTTACATAATTTGTTTCGTAATTAACATGTACAATGCAGGGGTTTAAGTACCAGCAGATTCAGCAGAAACAAAAACCTGTTTCTTGGTAAACCATAAATTGGAAATACAACCTTCATCATTGGGATCATCTTGACAAATAAAATGAATTGTAAAATCGATGAACTTTTATCCGCGCTTTTACGTTAGGCCAAAGTATATAAGCAGTCAAATGAAAGCAAAACAAAAGGTCTTCTACTTATGTGACATATTCTGTACGGTGAGCAACATTCTAAACCAACAGAAACATTGTGACAGAAATATTGGTGAAGAAAGTAACAAAAGTACCATTATTATTAATTTTTCAATTTTCCAAACTTGAAAATGTTTTGCTTTTGAAGTTGACATACATGTATTGTACGTCTTGTTTGTTTTATGGTCAGTTTTTATAAAGTTTTCTTGCATACTCAAGGGAAAAACATTAGTTCTAAGAAGACAGAACTACAAAGCGTCTACAGACACAATATGTTTAGTAGATTTGTAGCTGTAAATGTTAAAAAAGTATATGAAATCAAATCAAACACAATACTTCATTGCTAAAATGGGAAAAAAAATGAAAAGAAGAGCCTCTCACATGGATCTAACTTGGCTGAAATCAAAACAGAGATTCTGTTATTGCAAAACTGAAAATTAATATCATGAATTTGTCTACATTATCAAAGCATGATTTTAGTTTGTACTCAAATTTGTTTGGCGCCTAAAGTGGTCTAGTGACGACAGGAATTGACCTATCATCACTGTTTGCAAGTTAGCACGGCCCCTTATACAACCCTATGGAATTGTCTACATTAAGTTTTGTTTGTCTCAGATTTTGCGCTTTCGGCATCAATTTGTATGTCGTGTAATTGGACAATATTTTGCAAGCCGGATTGACGCGATTCTACCGCGATAGGTTCACTGTTTTTGTTTTGGTCATTGGCAACAGAAAAATGTGTTGCTTGTCGCTTGAAGCAACATATGGAACAAAGCTGTCTCAGATAATTCCATTGGCAGGTCAGACTACCACAGATTATTCTGATTGAATTAGAGTCCGACAAGAGCAAAATTCATGCTTTGAAAAATGTATACCAATGCAGGTATGTAGTACAGTGTTGCAGGCCAATGAAGAGCAAGTTCAATCGAGGACCACTGATGGCTTGGTTTCTGATGTAGGACTTAACTCACTCGCACTCTGATAGCAATCTGTGAGTGTCTCTGGTCAAACGATGGTAAAAACATCATCAACAAACTTCTTGGTCCTGCAGCTGATTTCACAAAACAGTGTGTAACTTGTGCCACGCCTAGGATTTAAGCAACTAATTTGTTGCGCAGCTGCGCAATAAACTTACGATCAGTTTCATGACACTCGTTGTAGTTGGGCAAAGATATTCAAATATCTTGGACAAAGACGGAAAGAGAATTTGCAATGGGTGTTTGTGTATTATTTCTGTTTGGTCACAAAACGGTTGTTGAATCACCTCCCCCCACCAATTTGAAAGTGGATTGGTCCGACTTTCTTCAGAATGATGTGGTGACTCAAAAAATTTGTCACAGGTACAATGGCAATTTATTTACTTTAAGCATAAAGCTGTGTCTTGTATCAATATTGGCAAGTTGTGTAGTAACAGGCCTCATCACGACAATCACGATTAGCCCAGAGTGAACTAGTTCATTTTCAGTCGCTTCGCCTTTACTTTGCACGCCACCTAAAATGATCATGAGAATTATGCTATAATTTGTTATGTAAGGCGCGAACGTTCGCACTATAAACTTTCATGAAATGTGTCATAACTGAAATGTTGCGCAGCGTGAAATGTTGTGCAACTTATGCAATAAATTGTGGCACAAGTAGAGTTAAGCCATTGCAAGCTCCGTGAAATCGGCTGCTGGCTCCCTGCTGTGTGGCAATTTTACCAGTGATGCAACCAACCTCCGTAGTCTCATCCTGAGAAGTTGACTTTATTAGTCCAACTACAGTCGACTAGTGTGGGTTTGAGTAAAGATGTGTATAGTAACCCGTAGTTCTCGTTTGAACTTGCTCCATCATGTGGGATTCACCACAAGCTCACCAAAGGGCACTAAAGTCATGAATGTCTCAACTTGATTTTGGTACAGACATCACTTTCTCTGTTTACAGATGTCAATTTTTCTGTTTTGGGGATTCCCCTACTAGTTGCCCTTTGGCGAACTTCATTCACTGAAGGGAAACAAAAATCATGCTTTGTAACTCCTTAACCAGGTAGACTGGCTACCTCGTCTGGACGTTCTGTGGCTGGGCAGGAAGTCAAAATCGTCATCATTGTTGTCAAAAGATGAATGAGAGGAGAAGGACGAGGCGCTGGTGAGACGTCCTCTGCCTGATAGAGAAATGAAGTAGTCAGATATGAACCAGTCAAGTCCTCGCAAAACATCACAAGCCATTGCAAACCTCTAATCATAATACCTCACAAGTTCTCACAAAACCTCGCAAAAACTCACATGTCTTCACAAGTCCTCAGGAATCATCACTAAACCTCACAAATCCTCACAACTTCTCTCAATTCATCACACATCAACATTAGTCATCACTAGTCATTACAAGTTATCACTAGTCATTACAAGTTATCACTAGTCATTACAAGTTACCACTAGTCATCACAAGTTACCACTAGTCATCACAAGCAATCACAAAACCTAACGTACCCATACCTGAGACATATGCATTCTTTTGTCACTTTCCTCCTCCGTTACTTGTAATTAGGCTCATAAATTGACTGGGAATTAACTTGTGATGGACTTGTGATGGACTTGACTACAGTGTATTGTTTATTGGTATATATTTAGCCCAATGAACAGTTTAAAAACAAACTTCAACCAAAATGCAAAGAAAATGCAATAAAATAAAATACAAATAAATGTCGCCTGAGAAGGGGGACTGAAAAAGAGAACACTTTCTTTTGTGATGCTAAATTTAAAAAAAATTGCTTTTGTATGCTCTGTGGTGTATTTTGAGCACTGTAAAAGTGATTTTTGCAGCAATTTTTATTTTTGGATTTGGGGATCAATTGCTTCTGCTGCCTAGCAGGAAAACAATGAAGAGGTAACATTTATAGTAGCCTTGGGCCAAGACGTCAGTGATCAATGGTGATATTAGCTATTGTTGTAGAGCGCCACACACAACTGTTTTTTACTTTCTCTCATTAACATCTTGGGAATTTCGAAGGGAACCGGGCGTGGTCATTTTCTGTAAATTAGACCGTTGGTTTAAATATTAATATTGTAGAGCAAAACTGCACGCTTCCGATTTGACATCGGTAGTTGCGTGTGGGTATCAATGAGCTGCATATCTAATTAGCAATGCTTGATCACCGCACTTCAAAGTGGAATTTTCGCACTTTGCGCGTATATTTACAACCGTCGCGCAGCGCACGCGCCTGACTATAAACCATTTCGCAATCACTGATTGGTTCCCTAGGAAAGTCTAGGGATAAAAAAAAAGAAATAGTTAAACCGCTACTACGAAATTCCCAAGACGTTAGTTCGAGCAGGTGCGCTGGTCTAATTATTGTGTCGTTAGAGGGCGCACTATGCACGATCCGCTGTCGATCACTAGCGTCTTGGGCCAAGACTACATTTACAGCAGCAAAACAATTACAAATGTTATCAGAACATCACCATACTTTAAGGAATATTGTCCACTCCCTCATAAATCTAAGTGCAATCTTTATTTATTATGTTAATGCTTTAAAAAAAAATATCATTATTTAAAACAAAAGGGAAATATATACATATATATAAGCTGCTCTGACAAAAAAAGGCAAAAGAAAATGCTTTGAAATATGATGTTATAAGCTGACTAAATATCAAATAAATGTTAAGGAAAAAATATATATCTGAGGCATTCTGGCAGGAATGAGACAGAACTTGGCAAAGGGCGTAGTGGGGAAAAATGGGGGGAAAACAATTCCATGAGGTTGATTTTTTCTGTTTTTACAATTTATTGATATTTGTAATCTTTGATATGCCTCCTACAAATATTTTATAGAAGTGGTATAAAAAGGTAGAATAAAAATGTTTTTAGGGAAAATACAATTGCAATCTTTCATTTTTCAGGACTAAAAACTTAAAACTTTAAAGGCCTTTTCTCAGTATTTTACTTTTTTGGGCATGTCGATAAATGCGAACTTTAAACAGCCATAACTTGTCAACAGAATGTCCGACTGAAGTGCAACAAACAGTATTGTAAGGAACATTTTATTCTCTTTCTTCATACCTGAAAAAACTCATTTCGACCTCTGCCCAGTTCTGTCTCATTTTGCCCGAATGCCTCATGCACATAGAAGTTTTATTTATCAAATAATTACACATAATATGTATGGTTGAAGAAAATACAATGTTAGCAATGACAATTCTCAGCCGCAAAATGAGCTGAATCTGTATCTTGTGAGGAGAAATCCAAACCAAGTAAAAGAAACATTCAAGAAAAGAAGTCAAAATTATTGGCTTTTTAAAAGTAATTTGCGGCACCAGTTTAAAAATATACAATTTAGTCAAGAATGGCAGGAACTTGGTTGCGATGGTCAGCCACTAGGCACAGGAATGGAAGCAAGGCTAAAAGCAAGAGAGAAATAGCCATATGTGGCCACTGGCCACTATTCAAGGTGGACAAAATGGCTCTGTGGCCCATCAGCAGTCCGGCAACCGGAATAACATAGTCATCTGCTTGTTTTACCTTTTCGTTTTCAATATAATGAATGACAGGCTTGCGGACACAACCTGTGGGAATAATTTCTCACACTAAGAAACGGTTCTGAAAAGAACCAGAGGTATAAACTTGACATTCAGCTGAAAGACGGTCAGAGCATACTGACCGGAACGTCAAGTTTATACCTCTGGTTCTTTTCAGAACCATTCTCTAATAGTTTGAGAAATTATTCCCACATGGTGTGTCCGCAAACCTTTCATTCATTAGTATCTCCACCATGCAAAGCCTCAAATCTTACTTATTTTCAATATTGGGTAGTCAGTTTAGCGTGGTGGTACTTTCCGTTGCCTTTTGCCTCTGACAACCGAGGTTCACATCCCACCCAGGCTGACATGTGGATTTGGTTTTCAGTCCCTGCCTGATTTTGTGGGTTCCCTTTATAGAAAACTGTTCTTAGGTTTTCCTGCCAGTTGTCAACTGAGTATGTCTTCATTGTCTTCACTCTTTCAGTTCAGGCTTCTGGGCTACAGTTGTCTGTGCACTTCTGAGGGGCCCATGGTTTTTATTTACGCTAGAGAACATTATTAACAAAAGTAATTACAGCACAAAATACTGATGCACATCCCCTAATACCGTAATAAACGCCCGAGTAGCCACAAAGCCAGCGTAACTAGCCAAATGTCACATTGGCTTAACAGCCTGGAAATAATTGTTGAGAAAAAAGGAGGGTGCCATGCATCCACAGTAACAAGTGACTGCCCTTGTTCGGTTTATTTATGTCAAGCACGTTTTATTGAGCCTCTCAAAAGCCTGCCACATAATTGCAGGCAGTGTATGCCAGCGCACAATATACCAATCAAGCTGCCCAAAGAATTCATGCGCTCTTGGAGAAAATCAAGTCATCCTCGAGTGGGAACTTATTTTGATCTGTTCCCTTTCATTTCATTTGCAGTTTTGTTTTTAAGGTCGCTTTTCTATATTCCAGATAGACTGAGGATGACCTTCTTGCCCATGCCTAATTCAATTCTGAATGTCAAATCTCATAGCAAGATTCTGCAAGGCCTAATGAAAAAAATGAGTGCCATCTAGCATAGCCTGTCTATTCATGTCTTTCTCATTCTGATTTATAATTTTTTTTGTTCTGTATAAACCAAAGATTCCTCACAGTGCCCAGTTCATTGATGCACAAAAGCTTGAAGAAACCCAGAGGAGTTGAAAGACAAGAAATGTTTTGCTTTTAGAGGTCTAAGGAAAACGCTGGAAGAATATTTTATTATTCCAGCATCTAAACACCCAATTCACTTCTCAGCATGGGTTGCAGAGGTGGACAGTTAGGAAAGTACCAATTGACTATTCCAGATTTTGTTTTTGCACTAAAATCCCTGGTTTTTCTTTACCAAAAATTATTATTCAAGGGCGGGAATCAAACTGTGGTCCCTTTAAAATGAAGGCAAGACAAAGTACCGCTATGCACACTGGATCATCCTTTTACTGGTTTGGATTTCTCCTCGGTAGGACAAAATCAAATTTGTTAGTATCAAAATAAGACATGATTTAGGGAGAAAGAGGTTTGTTAGTTGCCCTGCGGTTCCCGCGATGCCTCAAAGTATTGGTTATCATTTCCTTGATGGGTTTGAACTTGAAGATTACCTTTACGTTCGCCTTCTTTCGCTGCCTTCTTTTGAGCTGGAAAAAAATTGTTTATCAGGGAAAATTCAGTAACTACATTGATAAAACCACCATATTTATGATCATTTCTACCTGGATCTGACAAGAAATTGGTAAAACAGAGACATAGGAGAGTTATAAATTGAACTTGTTTATACAAATGTCACCCGTACAGTGCGTGAAATCGGCTGACCTTATGTTCTAGACATAGATGGCTTCCAGATTTCATATAAGCACATACATGTATAGACCAGGGTATCATGGGGGCATTATTCAGGAAGTACATAAAATATTAACTGCAGTATCCTGGGTAGGGTACAGAACTGAAAGGATTAATAAAGTAGGAAAACCTTTTGGGTAAGTAATAAATATAATAATAACGTGATTCTTATATAGTGCTTTATACCAAAGGTCTCAAAGTGATTATTACCCCAGTTCATCAGGCCATGAGACCATTTTGGGGGTTTTTTTTGGCAGCAGCTTGAGATCAGCGCAATATGGTCTCTACCTTCACAGGTACCCATTTATACTCCTGGGTGGAGAGGGGCAATTGTAGTAAAGTGTCTTGCCCAAGAACTCAAGCACCATGTTCCCTGTCAGGGTTCGAACCCACGTTCCACGGCACGTGAGTCCCAACACAGTAACCATTGGGTTATGATGTCTCCTCATTTTGTAAATTCCTCACTACACATAAATCAACAACTTTTGGAACGAGACCAAAGTTGATGTAGAATTCTCTATTATGCCTGTCTGTTAGTTTCTGATGTGCTCCATGGGGTGAAACTTTCAAGACTGGAGAGTTCCAATGCCAAAGTGTTTAGAATGACAAAAAGGAAAGAAATATATTCACATTCAAACTTACTTTGGTAGAACGTACAGTTAGTACATGTCGTTAAAACAGCACAGAAAAATGTGCTTGACTCATTTAAGCAGTACTACAATATGACATCGTAAGTATCCTCAATGATTGTTCAAAATTCGGCTGTTTTTATCCACATACATGTATGTTAAAATACCTTGGTTGATAATGAACATGTATGATTACACGTTACATGTACATTAACAATGTTCAACAGACCATTAGAATGTATCTTTACCAAGGTATCGTCACACATTCTCAACTGTAATAATTCAGCAGTAAATGTGACTGGAATTGTTAAAAATGTAGTCTTTGACAAATAGTTGCCAAAGAACTTGAGATTGATGGGAAAGATTTGTCCTGAACAGTTGCAAAAGTACTTGAGATAAATGGGAAAGAGTTTTCCTGATATTGTGCATCCTTTGAATGTAAACAGAATTAACAAGCTCATGATTTATAGTTGTGTGTTACATAAAAGACATCTGCATGACCATTCACACTCAATTGATAATCAATTTGTGAATTAACAATTGACAAAGAACTAACAGATATTGGTTTTATTTTAAACTGAGTTTACTGATAATGTTTGACATTTTTTTTTTCAGTGCTTATCTGAAATTCATGACAGCATGGTGTCAATGATTTTGTTCATGCTGAACTTTTAAACTATAAAAGTTGATGAAAATGACCGAACTGACGGAAAGCTCACAAACGCCTGAAATTATGGATTTGCTGATGTGAGCAGGGAACATAATGCCATTGGATTTGTTGGGTCATGGTCGATTCAGCAGACTTTTAATTGGATTCAACAGGGTCCTAACAACATACGTTGCGCAAGGTAAGGATTATTCTACACAATCCCAGCATGGGAACTGCGACATGCCTTTGTTCCTTGTGTTTATCAAACCCAGCTCTAGAGTCTAGCTTGTGAAGGGCTACTCACATAATTATATTAGGGAGTCTTGGCATTGCCAAAAACATGTGAAATGGCTCGATGTAGATATTTATCCCTACTGATCCGAATGGTTGCCATGGTGATATCATAAAAAAAAATAGAGTTGAGTGAATTCCTGCATGATTTCAGGAAATTATGCAAACGTAAATGATTGTTGCTCTTGATCAGCACTGTGCAGGAAACGAAGCCTCTGAAATTCAAAATCAAGCATGGGGGGAAATGTAAATCAGAATGGTCGCCATGGCGATAAGGTCTTCATTTGTAGAAGCCTGAATTGATATGGATGACTGCCTGCCTTGGCGGCCGCAGGAATCTGATGAGAAAATGACGAACACCCTCTGACATTTCAGCACAGCAGAATCTGGATTTTCATCAAGACCGACAGAACGGTAGCTCAACTAAATTTACTGATAAAAATTCCAGTCAGGTGGCTGTGTTTTCAAGATATCCATTTCGCATCCGTATCACAAAAGCAGTCCCCACAATCAAATTTGGTTATTGTTGACACGTTTCAAGATTTCTTTCAGTCATTCAATTTCTTCTTTTTTTAGGTGCTGACCTAGAATATATTTAGGATAAAGTGTGCCTGCGACGACTTTTTGGCTGCAATACAAATTTCTGATTATTTGTCACCCATGTATATGTATATGATCGGAAATTTTCTTTGGTGAGAATTTGATTGAACGGGTGACGTGTTTGCACCATTTAAAATCTTCTTTTTTTTTAAACGTATGTCACCGCGTATGTAATGTTTTGAACAGCGGACTGTGTTAATGACAGTTGATGTTTATGTAAAAATTGGCGTGGTTGAAATTCCAATGAAAATGGAATTGTGGTGACACTGTTTTATCGGTTTTGAATTGTGTGGTCTTTAATGCAACTGCTTTAATCACTTTTATGAACAACTCGTTACGTTAATGACAGTTGATATGAAACTTATATTGATGTAAATAATCATGTCCTGATGCCATGTGAGAACAGCGCTTGATTCCGTTGTGACAAAAATGCTGGCGTCGAATTGTGAAGTTTGTGAGTTGTTTTATTGAATCTCTCACACTTATCAATATCGGATTTTTCCACGGTGGTGGCCGAGGACAAGTCACTCTGGACACGGCGTAGAGCCTGGCGATGGAGTGCTTCTTCTCGTGCTTTCCCACTACTCAAGGTACTCAGGCTGCGCATTCGACGTGACAACCTGCCTGAAATTTTTATTGGGGGGGGGGGGTTCGTTTCAAGATTCGAAAGAATTTTTAAGCATAAAAATCTACTATCTTCATGTGCATCAGCGAATGATGCTGCAGCCTTTGTTTTCTCAGGATGATCATGAAATATGCCACTTTAGTTGGAATTTTACTGTGACCTTTTCACAACCTCAACGTTTACTAAATGTCACTATTTTATTAAAGTTTGGTTAAAGGGAATATACAACATTTGCTTTTGCTGTAATTTTCAGAAATGGATGGATTTGGGGGTTTAGTCTTTTATAGCAAACATTGTTACACTGACTTTTTTGCAGTGTTGTGCTCCTGTAGTCTGGTTCCCTGACCCAACATAAGATGAAACGGAACGATTGTATAGACGTCGCAGAATTGTAAGGTCAGGGAACCAGTTTACCTGGCTTGTATCCGTTCATATGCGTTTAATTGATTACAAACAAAATGTGGTCTAACTAAATATGGTGAATTAGTATTTGAAAAAAAGGCCGTTTTTTGCAACGTTGGTCGGCGGCAGCGTTGGAAATTGATATAAAACTGTGACTCACTAACAGTTCAGTAGGATATTTTATAATATTTTGGGAGTTTTGTTTTTAGACGTTTGCAAATGTTGTTTATTCCCTTTAAAACACTAAAAAGCTTGCAATTCTTTTTTTTACAAGAAATGTCTTTAGCGTCTTCTCTTATTCTTGCAGCATAAAACAAAAACTTCCAACATTTTGCCATTTAATATTTTCTCTTCCATCCAAAAAACGAATGCTTAAGAATGAGCACTGGCGTCTGTTCACTTCTATGAATAAACCATGTGTTAGTACATGTTCATAGTGGATTAGAAGTAGTGTATTATCAAAATGTCACGATCGCCATGCAAATGTAATCAAAAGCCCAGTCATGGTAAAATAGACTGGGAATAAAACAACTGAGTTAAGTGGTTAGTACATGCCGACAATTGAACGTTGGACTTTAGACCAAACGATAGCACGTTGGAAACCTCCAAATTGTTGCAATGACACGAAGAGGAGTGAATATTACAAAATGTCAAGTCATCCATTGTGAAGTATGTGAGCCGGTAATAGATTTGGTCGGAGTCTATACAGGGTGAGTAAAAAAAACCCAAACCCAAATATCGGGACCATTGTTTTAGTGAAGTTCTACATGTAGCACTTTTCAAATCTCGGATATGAAAGCCCAATTCATAAGCTTTCTTTTAGTACAAGAATCATTCAAATCACTCATGTACTTTTCAAGTTGCGGAGTTTTAAACACAACCACCGTTTTAAAGTTCTGTCCACGGATCACAAAAAAGGTGTGTGTTCTTTCAGCAAAACGAAAACAATTCACACACATCCTTATGTGATTTGTTTTCGTTTTGCTGAAAGAACACTGAACTTTTTTGTGATCCGTGGACAGAACCTCAAAATGGCGGTTGTGTTTAAAACTCCATAACTTGAAAAGTACATGAGTGATTTGAATGATTCTTGTACTAAAAGAAAGCTTATGAATTGGGCTTTCATATCCTAGATTTGAAAAGTGCTACATGCAGAACTTCACTAAAACAATGGTCCCGACATTTGGGTTTCGTTTTTTTTTTAGTCACCCTGTAGAACACGTTGTTACTTTGCATTTGTGCTAATTATACCTGCTGAGGGGCAAGCAAAGCACACCAGATGAAAAACAGATGACGACATTTCTTCTTCTTTTTTTAATATGCGGAGGATACTACATTGCAAAAGACTCAAAAAGGTACATACATGTAAGGCAACAGGATTAATACATTTGATCCAAACATTTTCATCAGCAAGAAGTATCATCCAATGGAAGAAAATCATTTTTTTTTAATGATCTACATGCACAATTCAAATTTCATTGCATATCCCTCTACTTACCCGGGAAGTCAAATCTTCCAGAAAAAGTTCAATTCTAACCATTTTATTCTGCAAAATACACCAAATCCCGATGTCTTCATGAGAACCTCAGGAATGCTGCAAACGCAGCTTAAACTATCTCACAGAAAAGCAAAAGAAATTTCCTGTTTTTTTTTGTTTTTTTTAATCCATAATCAAGAAAATAAAAATGAAGTCATGAATACCTGATCGTTTCTTGGCCCCATCTATCACCCTTCTCTTCTTGTTTTTGACAAGAATCTTGCCTCGGAGTGCGTTGGGACTAGGAAGTGATACGCCAACCTCAATCTACGGGGGAAAAATTAACAGTGGGAAGGATAAGAACAGGGCTGCAATCCACTTACGCGAACATCGCAGACCATGCCAATGATTTCCCATAGGCTATGCGTGGGAAAAAAAAGCTGCAAACGTTGGCAACGCAACGCAAATTGCATTATTTTCTTTTGTTATTATTATTATTATTTAATTTTGGTAATGAAACCAAGGATTCCTGAAAAGCGCCCTAGGCACTATAGCTCGCAAACCTGAAGAAACCCGTAGAGAGGAGACAATGAGAAGAAATTACAGTTTTAGAGGTGGGGGAAACCCCAGAAGCATATTCTGAGGAAAACCCACGGAATCAGGCAGGGACTGAAAACCCAATCCACATGTTGGCCCAGGCGGGATTCAAACCAGGGTCACAGCAGTGGGAGGAGAGGAAAGTACCGCCACGCCAACCTGACTCCCTTGTAAGGCCCCCCCCCCAAAAAAGTTCTGCTTCCGGTTTCCCTACCTACCCTATTCTGACAGCCCCTACCCTATATTTTTTATTGGAAAAATGAGAAAAAAATACCCAAACCATCAATTTCTACCTTTTACCCTTGACTACATGCAGACGCCTCCATATGATCATGCACACAAAAAATTTGCCAAAAAAAAAATTCCCTACCTACCTACCCTATTTTCAAATGCCATGTAATCGGAAGCAGAACTCATTTTTTTTTGGCCTAACTTGTCTAAACACTGTTTGGATGCCTCGGTAGGACAGACTGTGAGAAATACAATGTAAAGATGCCTTGCATACAGCAGCCATCTTTAAGGCATGCTTTTGTTGTTATTTTGATTCAGTAACAATGAATTCACAAATGTCTTCTCATGCGTGTCTGTGTGGGACAATAGCATCCACCTCAACAAAGGCTCCAATGCAAAGGGTTGTTCTTTCAACTCATGGTCACGGTGTTTATACATGGCAAATATCGATAACCAAATGCTTTTTGACTGCTAACTGGGAACCTAGAATGCCTGCTAGTATGAAGGACGATGCCCATGTGACTATTCCACCTAATTATAATCCAGTCGACAGGTCCCTCGACAAGCTTACTTTTCTTTTCGTAATCCTACTAAATCTCTTGCATTTCTCTTCTCAAAACTTGTCCACACAATTCGAGAAAAGTGATTCAACAAGCCGGACGGTTGAAACTAATGGTTTTTTTTCCCTTTAATCATAACCTTCCCAAATCCATCTAAATCCATTCCCTAATTTCGGGGATTTTGGTAGGCAAGCCATGAGTACAAAGTCCATCAAAATCCACCTATAGTAGGTCATGCGGTAGTCAGGTGGCATATGGTCGGAAATGTGACCGTCTGGTCCAAAGCACCAAACTTGGCAGATAGATTCTTATAGACCTAGAAAAGATATTTAGAAGGGGTGACACCTGAAATTCTTTTGGGAAGGGTGCCTAATTTGCATAAATCGTTAATCCCTGCCGTGTAATATATTTTTTCCCATATTTGGGTATATTTTTATTTTTTTATTTTTTTGAAAAGTGTATTTTGGTGATCCTACTTGCATATTCTTACTTCAATAACATTTTCTAAAGCATGTTAGTGACTGAATAATTACGAGGACATAGTAAATCACCAAAATGGCTACTGTTTTACCCTAAAGTTACGCGCATTACCTTTTCCTCAGTTACCTTTTCCTCAGATATCATCAACTAGTCTCGCCAAACGTGGGTATTGATGAGCTTCAAATTCATAAAGGTACTTACTGACATAGTTAACCTAACAAAAATAAGTGGGAAATTATGTGAAAATTGATATCATCTTGATGTTTGGCCCAAAAGACCAAAAAAGGGGAGAAAATGTTGTGTCCGTAAATTGGGCTACTACGGGTAGGGTAACGTGGGGACCGTGAACAAGTTCAACAAAATCCCCCCAAATAAGAGATTATTGTTGTTTACAATAATTTTGTCTACGCCAAACCGTTTTCTCTACAATAATTTTGGGAATTTCCTTGAACTTGTTCCAGTCTTCCATGTTAGGCAACCCTTCACCTTACTTGTTAGCCCAATTTATGGACACCTCGTTTTTTCCCCCAGTTTTTGTTTTCTGGGCTAAATATCACAATGTTCTCATTGTTCACATGATTTTGCATAAGGTTTCAATAGGGTACCTGTACCAGTAAGCTACGTGGTGAATTTGAAGTTCATCAATGCTGATGTTTGGCAAGACTAATTGATGATATCTGGGGACAAGGTAAATGCGCGCAATTTAGGCCATAATAGTAGCCATTTTGGATCGTTACTATGTCCTCATAATTATTCAGTCATTTATATGCTTTGGAAAATGTTATTTAAGTAAAGATATGTAAGTAAAATCCCCCAAAAACACTTTTCAAAAAAATAAAAAAATAAAAATATACCAAAATATGGCAATAAATATATTACACGGAAGGGATTAACGATTTATGCAAATTAGGCACCCTTCCCAAAAGAGTTTCGGGTGTCACCCCTTCTAAATATCTTCTCTAGGTCTATAAGAATCTATCTGCCAAGTTTGGTGCTTTGGACCAGGCGGTCACGATCTTGACGTAAATTAGATCTTAGCCACCTGACTAGGTGGATTTCAGCAGATTTGGTTCTGAAGCATTATGTGAAGCAGGGTCAGTGATGGATTTTGGCGGACTTGGTCCGGTACTTAGTAAAAGACAGTAGGGAGTTAGGGTTAATCCAAATGATTCTCATAACACAGTGTTGAAGCCCTACTGTAACAGAGAGGAAATAACACAAATTTTTTTTAATTTTTAGTCAAAGGGTTTTATTTCCACATTACCGGATTTGCTTCGAGGGTATCCACAAGAAGTGCTTCACCAAATATCGTCCGGCAATAGTTGGCCATCTTAGCCTGCTGCTTTGGCCTGAACAATATCAAACACACAACAACAACAAATTCACAAGGTCACTAACTAATTATTATAACTTTTTTTCTGACATTTTTTTCAAGACAAAGTGGAAGGATCATAAGCAGGCCTGTCAGCCATCTTGGTTTTGCTTCTGGCTTGAGTCTGAGGGTTTACGAAGAATCCAACCCTTCCTTCTCAGAATAAAAATTCACCAAGCAATCGTATCAAATTTATTTCTCTCAGACAAGTTTGCAGACACACCGTTCATGTTTGGCCAATGCTGTGCCCAATGGAATAAAAGCTAAGGCAGTTAGGCCCGACAAGAAACCAAGAACACGCGTGGTGAGTTTTTGGACTTTTTGGAAATTAGCAAGGTATTTTTGTGGTGGCATCACATAAAATTAATCTCTTTTGTGAGTATGCGATGGTTCTGAGAAGAACCGGTTTTAACTCAACGTTTCTGACAGCATACTTTGCCTGTCGTCAGGAGACTGGGAGAATTCGAACTGGAAGTGGAGTATTTTTGGATATTAATATAGTGTTACTTACCCGCAATGATTCTCAAAGGACAAGATGACGGGAAAATCGGTGGTTTTGAATGCTGTTTCCTTGATCGCTTCAATGACCTCCTACAAAAACCAATCAGAGAGAAAAAAAAAAGAGAAAATAAAATTGAATTTTTCAGAGGTTACTTAAAAAAAACACCACAACTGTCTTTTTACTTTCTTCATTTCAGGGACCAAGCAATTTATCTTTTTCCCAGAACCAGTCAGTGGTACTAGCTAAAACAAAAAAGTACTTATACAGCATGTGATTTATATCACAAGATTTGGGGTAATTTTATAAGGTTATGAAATCGAAGAAAAGTCATAGCATAGACCTTATTCACACGGTAGCCATTTTTGGTTGTGTTCCCTGAATGTAGTTTATAAACTGTAAACTGTTGAGTGGGATGGTGCCAGACTATCTATGTGTTTCAGACCTCAGTTTTCAAATTTTGTTTTAATGTGGCTTAAAACGTTAGGGTATGTTTAATAACAAATTTTAAATTATTCATCAGAGCAGACTGGTATTAATTTGTAATGAACTTTATGTCATTGCTTTCATTTCTATTCACATGTTTTCCAAAAATGAAGATTATACCTTGGTTTCAATTTAATATGGTCAACTCGTGAATAAAGCCTATAGTAGGTCAGGTCAGAGTTTTAAAGTCTAATTTTTTTTGGGAAAAACAAATCATTTTCAAGCACTATTTACCCTATGATTACTTCTCAATCTAGACATTAAATTTTTTTTTCTGTATGTCATGTATGTGGCATGCTTGCCTATTAGCAGCCTTTAATATTTGATCCTTTTACATACGAGTACAAAAATGACCAAATTAATGAAATGCAATTTCTTTTCTGGAGTTTCCACTAATAATTATGGCAAAGTATTCCAACTTCTGCTGGCACAAATGTCAAAAGACTGCATATCATGCTCAATACATTTAAAATACAATTAAAAAAAAAATAAACAATTTCAATTTCAAGAGGACAAGAAAATCATTAGCTTTTTATCCAATGAGATGATTTATGGGGAGTCATAAAAACACTGAAAGCTGGCCACGATGTTGAACAACATTTGCGGGGATTACAATTTGTGTAATTTTGGATTTCAGCAGAATCCAAAATTTTCCCAACTGTCCAAAATATTTGAATGAATTTCTCCGAAAGGGAATAAAATATGACAACTCTTAACAAAAGGGGAAAAAAACACATCTTTTTTCGAAGCAGACATGTTGTAGGCCGCATTAATAGATGATATTACGTTTTTCAAGTCGGATAAAATATTTTTAAAAAGCGAATGTTTGAATTAAATCGTCTAAACTTACAACTTCAATTTGAAAAGAAAAATATCAAAATGGCTCAACAGTACATGGGAGTAATGTTTCAAAAAGATAAGTTACAGTTGCCAAAGATCGCAAGAAATACAGAAAGCCCTGTCATCAGTTTTAAATCTTCAATATAATTAAACTAACACATTTATGTTGGTGTACAATACAACTAACTGATTTCTCAAAATGGACGCCAACAATTTCAAATTTTCTATCGCGAACAAAATAGGGTCCAAAAAAGATTGTACGGAATTGTGGTCATTCGTGAAAGGGAATTTTATTTATAACTGCTTGATAAAACTGCATACAAAATTTGAGAGCGAAACGGGATGTTCATTACAGCTAAATGTCCAGTATATCAGTATTTATTGTGGCAGCACTACTCTTAAATTATTTTCAGGGAAAATGGAATGATTTGATTGGTTGCCGACCTTGAAGGAGACCTCAGTGCACATTGTGAAGCCGTGCGTTATGATTGGTTCTTCTTCGGCCGTCTTCCCGTCCCAACAATCCAACTCGACGCATCGGCAACCGCACAGCAGGGCTTGGCGGTACATCTCCACGGAGGATTTACCCGTTAACTGATGACCTGGAAGGGGAGGAAGAGTAGTATTTAAGGTTCAATCGTATGATGTCAATGTACGATGAGGCCATCCGGTTTTCCCGCGATCGGCCACCATTACAGTAGGCAAGGCTTTGGTTGGCAGCCAGATCATGCATTGTAAACTAGACGGTAGGGCATATACGTGTAAAGGTACCACTAAGGAGACACGTTATCGTAATTTCTTCGCACGATGGGAGATATCGGTCATTAGGGAGACATTTTTATGTCTCCCTAATGTCACAGCGCCCCCCCCCCCCCTTTAGAGGCAAATATTTTACCGTCGCAATTAGGTTATATTTGTTGCTCCTGGTCTAATTTGTAAACATACCGAAATTCGTGGAAAAAGGACAAGGGAATATTGGGTTAGGACACATTTAAATTTGAAAAATTTTGTGCACAAGTCTATGGGAATGTCTCCCAAATGACCCATTTCCCGTAATCATTGTTGTTATTATTATTGTTATGAGCGCCATGGTCTCGTGGTCTGGAGCATAGAATTTGTGGTCTGTGAGCAACTCTGCAGGTTGTGGGTTCGAGGCAAGCCTGCGGCTACAGTGCATGTGCTCTTGGGTGAGGCACTTTGTCACTCATTGCTTCTCCCCACCCAGGAGAAAATGGGTACCTGCGAGGGCAGAGGTGGTAATCGTGGTTGATTTCAACTGCTTTGCGCCGAAATGGCAGCATTGAGCTGTATATTCCCCAGGGAGCTGAGATGGTATTTGGAATGTTTCATTGGCCCAATGAGCAGGGTAATAATGATGTAGCGCCTTGAGCACCAATAATGGTGGATACGTGCGCTTTATAAATACCCATTATTATTATTATTATTTTATTTCACATAAAATTACTGCAAATTCATGGTCAAATGGCATAGTGATCACTACCTGTGCCATGTAAGGTTGTCACAATTGTGCCGACCCAGCGCTGGGTGTTGTCTCCTTACATTTTTATCAACCTGGATCTACCACTGGAGCTGGAACCATTTGAATCAGCTAAGACTACTTCAATTTGCATTCCCCGTGTTATTTTCAAGTTTTATCCCCCCAAAAGATTCCTTTTCTAAATTGCAAGGTTTTTTTTAGCAATACAAAAGTTACGGTATTCACTTTTGAATGAGACTTGATCGAAAACATCGGCTCATGTTTAATTATTGAACCTTTACTTTACATTTTTAAATTATTGAAAAAATAAATTGAGCACGGGAAATGCAACTTTAATTGATTGGTTTGCATTATCAACCATCAGAATGTTGTGGCCTCTTGGCCTTGGGCATACAATTCAACATCTGTGGGTGGATCTACAGAGTGTGGGTTATTGTGTTTGAATTAGCTGTTTGCACTTTAAAAAATAGAGCTGCATTGAGTAAATATATTCCACAGGGAGTTGAGATCAATATTAGGAAAGTGTTATTGGCCCAATGACCAGTGATAATAATAAAGGGCTGTGATATTTGCTGGAAATAGCCATATAATGCCTATCATTATATGTGTACGTATTATGTGTACAAGTGGAATGCAGATCTGATACACCGTGCCCACTGGAGACATGCACACAATAGGGAACAAAAGATTGTATACATCTCCACAGGGCAATTTCTATAGATGAATACGTTTCCACAAGGTTTTCACAAAATAGATATATGGATTTTACTCAAAAACTCGGAATTTCAAAGGTATGTTGATCGTCGCAAATGGTAGAGTTTTAGAAAAGGGATAGAATTTCAGCCAAGGAAATTAATTCTGGTCAAATAAGAGCGTTTTGAAACTGTACTTTCAAACTCGAAAACTTTAGTACACGAGAACAAAGAAATGTCTCCACAAGGATACACATTTCAATATGTCTGTGCCTATTTGTGCATGAAGTATTGAATCTAAGTTGACCAGGGATCAGGGGTCATCAGGGGTCACATCGGCCGTTCCCTGACTCTTCATGTGTATATTTGAGTGTGATACTGAAGAGGTGCACAGACTAGAGTTGTGTACCAACCTGTCAGGTATGTGTTGTGGGATGAGTTGATGAAGTAATGGGATATGGGCTGCTCCATATCATCGCATAGTAAATAGGCGTCTGGTCCCACAATGGAGTTTTTTTCACTCAATAGATAGCGGAGAAGACCGTCCACCGACAGCTGGCCTGTACAAAAGAATATAGAGATGAAATTTGACTTAATTTGATTATTTGGTACCCATTTCAAAAACTTAGGCAAGGGGATCATTTTGACAGTACTATAAAATGACATAGAGCAAGTCATAATCCTTGAAAGCTTTTAACAGCCATTAAAACCCATTTTAAATTTTTTTCTCTTTGTTTGTACAGTGCAGTAAAACTTTTCATATTTTAGTGTGGTAGTGTGTACACTCCCAGGCCCCCTCTATCCCCCGCAACCAAAACAAAATAATTATTATATGTTCTAATATTTCACAAATTTCAAAAGTTCCCCAGCAAAAGAAATTGAAAATTTTGCATTACCGGTTATGTTACCTTCAAAATCCTATATGGAAGGAATCAACTTTTTTTTCCCTGTTAGATACATTATCACCATAGAGCTATATTGAATTACTAGAGCGCTGACCCATGTGCAAAGTAATGCCTGATGGGCTCATCCATATTTGTGCACAAACCCATGCAAAACTCGAAATTTTGTACGGCTTTTTGCATATCTGTGTTTGTATTTTATACAGGTGCGTTACCAGGGGCGTCAATCGCTTCTCAAAAGTGGGAGGGACATACCTTGATCAGAAATAATGCAAGCGCGAAGTGCAAAGCCCTTACAGGGTTTTCTAGAATTCGGATTCTAGATGCTCATGTGGTGTGATCTGAGGCAATTTCTGACCACTGTAACCAATATTTTCGGAGCAAAAGATAATGATTTAAATATCATTTTCGAGGTTGAAGTCATTGAATAAGCTATTATATTCTCAGCTAAAGGCATGGGGTACGGGGTCCGCTTGAGGGCCCCCAAAAAAATTGATTCTAGATGCTCTGTGGTGCGATCTGAGGCAATTTCTGACCACTTGAACCAATATTTTCTTAGCAAAAGATACATTGTAGTACATAATAGGGCCCTGTAAATGAGGCACAAGTTCAATAATCTGGGGGGGAAATTTGATATTGTGTCCCCCATCCTTCAAAAAGTGGGGGGGGGGGGGACATGTCCCCCTGTCCCCCCCAGGATTGACGCCCATGTGCGTTACCGAAATTGATAAGCCCAAAACCGAAACGCACGATCAGCAAATGAGCGTGTCATTTTGCTCTACGCAATCAGTGCAAAGCGTGTGCGTATCCACTGCAGATGATTAACTGTGACTTTTTCTTATACTGTAATGACGCGCTTAAGTTGTCTGCGTACGTTCTACTTGCGCGTTGCATTTGGAGTACACTTTCAAAATTCAGTCCATCTTTTCATTGTGTTCTACAAACACGCACATGAATTCAAAATGTCTGCACCCAGGGCAGCTCCAAAGCGTCTCCGCGCGCAACAATGAGGAGTTAGCGCTATAGTAATTTAATATAGCTCTATGATTCTCACCCAATTTACTTCAAGCACTGATTTTGTAAGGCAGTGTACCGAAATGGGAACATAACAACCGCACCTTTCTTCATGAAGGCTTTGTTGGGTTCAAACTCATTGACGAGTTCCTTGGCTCGTGGGACGTCGTAGAATGGATACAAAATCTCATTGAGTCTGGGATCTCGCTGTTCGTCATTCAGGAACTTGATCACTTGCTGGGTGGTCAGGTAGGGTTTATTCTTGGCTCCTCTGTTTAAAAGGGAAAACAAAACAAAAACAAAGTTCTTAAATGAAAATTCCAACAAAAGCACACAAAAAATGAAGGAGTGCAAAACACATCCTAAGGCCAAATATAAAAAAAACATAATTAGCGTCCTGTCTTTTTTAAAAAAAGGAAGCGGGAGGCCCCCCTTTTTTTCCCTCCAAAATGGCCGCCCGACCGGGCTATTTTTGAAGATGGCTGCCAGTTTTTTTGTTAATGGCCGCCATTGGACTCAGGAAATAACATACCAGCTTTATAAGGGCTAGATGCAACAGACAAAGAGGCCAAAATGATGTCACTGCTTAAAATTTAGCATTTTTTCAGTTAAAAAAAAAGAAAAAAAAAGGAGGCGGCCTCCAAAAAGGAAGTGGGCGGGGAAGCTTAACATGTGTTTTTTTATTTGGCCTAAAACTACATGACAATGCTGCCTTTTTCCCATGATTCAATGGGGGTAAAGTAGATTTTTCAGTTCCTTGAATCAGTCAAATCTGATGACAAAAACAAAATCTTATCAATCTTATCTTATCTTAGAGCACTCGTTTTTGCTTTTTTGCACTTATATCAAATTAGAGCGAGCAAGTCTCACCAGTCCATGTTCAGCTTTTGATGTGAACATCTCGGTACCAAACACTGACTAGTCTAGTCACAGACTCCTGGGTTTGAATCTATTCAATTGTTATCTGTGTGATCGATTAAATGGAAGTTGACGTCAACAAGTTTTATTTTCTAATAGTCAGCGATCTGCAATATTTTCAATATGTTGTAAATTGTAATGCTTTCTTTTCTTTCAAATTACTCATTTATTGCCCTTGATTGTATGGGCCCAGTCACGACACAAAATGACCACAAAATAGGACATTACACATGCTGTAGATCCTATACATGGTGCCTGGATGTTCTGCATTCTCTTAAACATCGCGGATTTTTGAGGTCCACTTACACGCTCTTTTAGCATAAAAAGCACCACATCTCGAGCAAAAGCCCAAGTATACCACAAAAAGTCTTTTTACTTCCCCCCTCCACTTTTAGCACCACACATGGTAGACACTCCCCCCCCCATGTCCCATGTATGCTACACGTACATTGATGTTCACACCCATTCCTCTACTGAAAAATACCAGCAACTGCCCAATATATTTATTTCTTTTCTTTCGGTCATCAATCTGAAGTATATCGCTACACGCAGTTTGGTTGAAATGCATAACTACAATGAGTTAGCAAAACATTAACTTCCTATCCAGGGACGTCGGTTATAAGGGAATGTGGACGGTTCACTGACTTTTATTGAAATGTTGAGCCGAGTCAACATTGCGCATACTCAAACAACCCGCAGAAAAAAAATCCAATTTATTCGTTCCATTCATCCTCCCGAAATCAATCACTCGTAGAAGCCTTTGTAAGTACTACAAAAAAAAATCAATATGTGTTTCAATGGAGATCACTGTGAAATTACAGCATTGAAATGAAAGGCCAGAATAGCTGAAAATGTGCAGTGTGATTTGACAGGCAAAATGAGCAAAATCACCGACAATAGATGAATGGAGAAAGAATATTAAAAAAAAAAAAGTACAGGCGGTAGACACAATGCAACATCTGCACTGCTCCGTGAGTCAACCCCCCCCCCCCCCCCACCCCAAGGCTTAAATGACTGTCACCACGGCGATGGCTGTTGGATTGAGGAGAGTTGGTTCACTGTCATCATGTTATGGGCAATAATAGATAGCGGGCCATATGGCTGTGAGAGCGTAAAGAGAACGAGTGATAAATGACGGAGGTACATGCAGTTGTTGAATGACTGAGAGGCTGTGAATCCACGGACAGACAAGTTTACTGATGATATATTGAAAGTGTGGAATGGGAGAGGTGAGGGAGGGGGCTGTATTCTCAACAGTATCAATAGCAGATCCAGAGAGGCTACTGGGGGGGGGGGTAAAGGGCTCTCTCAAGTGAAAAATGGCCTTATTTGAGAGGGGGAGGGGCCTCTGCAAGTATTTTCATTTCGTTCTGACAAGCTACATTGAAAATGGTGTCTTTTGGGAGACACTTTACCCATTGGCACCTGTACTTGAATTACATTGTATTCATGGGCGTCGCCAGGATTTTTTCTAGAGGGGGGCAAAACAATTTTTGGCCAAAAATGCTTGCATTTCTCAACATATTCTCGATTTATCAGTTTTAGAGGGGGGCAGGGACATTTTGCCCCCCCCCCCCAACTCATTAAATTTACACCACTTTGTCTTCGCGCCTCTTTTTCTTTCTTTTTTTTCTTTCTTTTTTTTTTTCTTCTTTTTTTTTTTTTGCTTTTCCAGGGAGGGGCAAGTGCCCCCCTTGCCCCCCCTCCCTCGCGACGCCCATGATTGTATTCATTCACTGATGAGTCGATAAAGCCATACAGCGCTCAGCTGGTATCGGGTATCACAGGGAAGTTTGGGTCGGTACACGGACTAATGGGTTTGATTATTATTTCCCAAGCTGCATGTTGTTTCCAAGAGTGATGCATTTTTCCAGTCAGGGTGGTGGAGCAGGGAGCACCACCCTCAGGTGTGCCTGGTGAGACTGCTGCATGGCGGGGAGGGGAATCAAGGACTTCACACATTGAGGGAATGACTAGGGCTGAGCATTATGGGTTGTGACCTGAAAATTATCACAAGCAATTCACTACGAACCTTTATACAACACCTGAATAAATCCTAGTCATCTGATTGGTTGATCGTTGATCACATGCCAGTGAATTATTCGTACCAACGCACGGCGCGCGTGTGGCGCGCAGCGCACAGTGCAATGGAAGTTCTATTGCACGGTGAATAGAACTTCCATTGCACGGTGTCACTGCTGCTGGTAGTGGCGCTGTTTTAAATCGAGATAAATTGAATATGATTGTTCTCAACCTGTTCAACAGTTTGCATTAATAAAATATGGTGAACTTGTCGAACTTTTAAACAGTTTTTAACCTGAATAAATTGGCTATTAAAAGTCAACCAATCAGATGACAAGGATTTATTATATTTATATAAAAACAAATAATGAACATTTCATCTGTCATCTCATGAAATTATTCTTACCATTGCACTCACAAACATTCATTATTTGTATACTATAGTCTGAAATATCTTGGTTTGTAACATCAGTGCCCTTACATTGTTGAGTCAGAAATTCAACAGCCACTGTGCAAATTTCAAATGATTTGTCCCATTCAGAGACACTTAAGAAAAAGTTGGGCTCACAGTGTGGATACCCACTGGTGAGGAAAAAAGAGGGTGCTTGATTTGAAATGTACACGCTTTACACTGTGAACTGGACTACATGTACATGTGATGAAGTACTGAGGTGCTTCTATTAATGCTCTGTAAATTATATACATTTACAGACGTTTCAAATTCTTTGTTAGTTAAAACGGGAATTTGACAACTTGCATTCCAAGTTAAATTCCATTTAAGTCCAATTTTGAACTTAAGGTTCACTTTAAACGTTTAGGAAAATTTGTAATACCATTAAGATTTGTTCATATAAACCTTTACATATGTATGTAAAAGTCAAATCCTATAGTGCTATGGACTTGGAACAGCAGTTAATTGCTCTGTGCATGCAGTGTCTATGCTGTGTGGTCTACCGGTGACAGAAATGGTTGGGTACTTTTCAATTCATCCTCCTACAATCAAAATAAAGCACATCGGTGGAAGGGAGGAGGGGGGAATTGTAATCTGATCAACTTACAGTCCTTGAAAGACTTTGTCGATTTCTTTCTGGCTGATGAGGCGGGTGTAGAAGGTGAAGAAATCTTCAATACGGAAACTGTCGGGAGTGATACTGTCATCCTGATGGCAAAGAAAGAAAGAAAGAAAGAAAGAAAGAAAGCAAACGCACAGTTTTATTGGCATGAGAATATTAGACAGAACATATGTACATGTGCACACACAAAAATGTACAACTGCCAATAAACCATGAAGAGAAATGACTTGGTCATTATTAAGCCATTTGAGTTGAACCCCTCCCCCAAAAAATAGACTTGAGTTGGACTTGAACCAATTACCATACCGGTACCGGTTTCCATGTATGGAACCCCCTGGTTCCCCTTCGGCACAACCACTGACAATTTGGGGAACTGCCAACTTAGAGTGCTGTTGACAAAATCGTGTTTCGTGATCAAAAGATTGTGCCTGGTGTTTCACAGTTTTCTCGAAAAGTGTAATATTCACAGAGCTTAAAGTTCTTAAACTTCAACAGGTTTCAAACATTCTGCTTTGGATTTTGAGTGGTGTCATTATTGGAAACGAACAAAATGCATGAAAAGCAAATGATCCTATATGCCTTTAAATACTCTTAATCCTTATTATATGTTTCATTTTCCGAAAGCCTTTTCCTTTATCCTTGTTCAATAACTATTTCTCATATGCCCTATGAATATGCATGTCATTGAAAGGGCGCCCTCTGTCATCAATCCTGTACGAACCGCATAAGGGAAAAAAAACCACGGCTGGATAGCTCAGTACACAGAGCGCTGGTACAGTATTCCCGCGGTTCAAATCCCACTTACCGGAACATGTAAATTCTCTGTTCAACTTAGTTACATGAATATGTGACCTACTGAGGCAAAATGAGGAATGTCCCCCAACACTTGTTTTGAGTAATCGACGCCTGAAGTCAGATATTCTAACATGATGTACATAACGTGAAAAGTCAAAGGTGGGGATTATTTCTCATTATGATATAGCAGGTCACATATTTACACATATTTTTAATAAATTTACAATGTACACAATGGAGATCAGCTTAAAAATGCCTGTGTCCAATTTATGGACCTATCCTGTGTCAAGTTGGCTTACTCTTATTTGACAATTTCTATTTCTGTGGTAACAAATCCAAAAATATTATGACAAAAACCTTAAAATAGTTTTCTTCAAAAGTTACATGTCTGCACTCAGATGGCGAGTGACCTTATGCTTAGTCCCTTGTTGGACCTCCATCTGAGACAAAAATATCCACAACGGTCGTAAAAAAAAAAGTCATCATCTGCAAATTTTCCCTTTTTCCTCCAGAGCCCAATTTTCTTAAAGTTGCTTTACAAATGTCTTGGCCTAGCATAAATCAGGGCCGAATTTAATGGCGTTGCTTAACAGTTAGCAGAAAAGTTGTGCTTATTATGTAGAGAATTGTGCTAACCTTGAGCACAATGTCATGGTTAAGTTATGCTAAAGGTTGTGCGCCCATAAAGATTTAAATAGTTACGTCAGTAATTCAAGTAAAGTTTTCTTCTGAGATTAGCAAGTCAATTGCTGGGCTTGCTGCTTATGGTCTACAAGGAAAGATGGAGGCTCTTTTAGTGAAACAATTTGGGCTTAGCAGTATCATGACATCAGTCCATGCTGAGAACCAGTTAAGAACTACACACTGCATATCATATTGGCTGGTAACCCATTTTTTGCAAAGAAATTTTTTTTTTTCTGTGCCAAGAAAATTCCTGAGCTTAACAGCTCCGCAAAACTAAGCCCCATGTGAAATACATGCACTTCGCCTGTCTCTGTCTTACCTTCTTATCGAGGTGAAGTCCTGCGGCCTGCAGAGCGTTTTCTACTTTCTTCTTGTCCTCCCGTGACGATGCAAACATCTTTTTGATGCTGATGGCAAATCAGACAAGTGTTAATAAAATGTCAAACGATGCCGCAGGACAGAAAGTGTGAAAATGTCAAACGTTACGAGAATTTTTTTTTTTTCATTCTGATAAACTAAGGGACTGCTCATACTTGAAATGCACCAAAAAAAATTACATTTGTGATATAATGAAAGCATTCACATTGTCAGAGCGCACATTTAAACTCTGGCGAGTTGAAATACAAATGTTTTATTGACGCCAATGTCAAATGTAAAAGAAAATATATCAGTGAAGAACATACACACGAGCACGGGAAATTTTACAGTGAGCAGTCTTGAAAACACAATTCCTTTACATGCAGGCCTATGATATAGGATTCTAAATCTACTTCCATATAATGAAACAAAATGTGTATGTATAAAAAATAATCAAATTTTTTTTTTAGCATTTGGACAAATTTGACCATAGCAGTTGCCAAAATAATTTGGACATTGATTGGACAGATGTAAGACACTGTTTCAAATCCACCCATTAGGTGGCTACTCCTTGGGTTTAGTGCCATGGTGGTAAAGGCAAAGATGTATATTGTGTCTCAAGATAAATGTGATTCTCACAATAAGGTGACATAACTGAGGTGGTGTCACACTCGTGAGTTCTGCTCATTTTTACATTTGAGGTGAGCATGCAGGCTGTGACCACACTCTTGGTTGAAGGAGCATAGATTTGTTTTGCCAATTGATATTTTCGGCGTCGAACGAAAAAAAAAAGCCACTGATGTAACTGAATTACTTCTTCATAAAATTTGAATTAGTAGCTGCCAGACAATAATTTGACTCTCACAGACAATAATTTGGCTCTTTCAGAGGGTTGCGGATGAATCAAGTATGAAATTGGAATGAATGAATGGTTTTTTATGTTTAAACAAAACATACAAGTTGACAATTCATTGGGAGAAAAAACTCTATTTTTGAAGTTGAGCACGGGGTATGCAACTTGTTTGCGACTGTGATACCCCTTAAGGGTTCAGTCTTGAGTCCCTGAAACTGTTAAACAAATTTTGTGTGCAAGAAAAGGCTTTCATGGCTCACATGAACATACAAATACAGAGCAAACTTAACTTTCACATCGTGTTCATCTTTTGCCTTTAATGTCACATACAGGATGAGTAAAAAAAAACAAAAAAAACAAATGTCGGGACTATTGTTTTAGTGAAGTATTGCATGTAGCACTTTCAAAATCTAAGATATGAAGCCCAATTCATAAACTTTGTTGTAGTACAAGAATCATTCAAATTGCTAATGTACTTTTCAGTTACGGAATTTTAAACACAACCACCGTTTTAAGGTTCTGTCCACGGATCACAAAAAGTTCAGTGTTCTTTCAGCAAAACGAAAACAAATCACATAGGGATGTGCGTGAATTGTTTTCGCTGAAAGAACGCACACCGTTTTTGTGATCCGTGGAGAGAACTTTAAAACGGTGGTTGTGTTTAAAATTCGGTAACTTGAAAAGTACGTAAGTGATTTGAATGATTCTTGTACTAAAAGAAAGCTTATGAATTGGGCTTTCATATCCTAGATTTTCAAAGTGCTACATGAAGAACTTCACTAAAACAATAGTCCCGACATTTGGGTTTTGCTTTTTTTGACTCACCCTGTACATTCATGTTCACGCTTACTTTTGAGCTGCTTATGAACCGGCTTTAAAAAATACATGTAGGTTTACAACACAGTCGGGGGAAAAAAAAGCTTGGCATTCAAAACTGGGAAAAAAATAAAGAAAAGAGAGTCGTGGACATACTATCGGCAAAAGCTAGGGTTACGAGCGAGAGATCTTGTCGCTGTCTGAGATCTAATCAGACTTTTTCTCCTTTGAAGAGGACAATGCGGTGAGGAGCGGGGAAATGTTACACCTCACAATGGCCTAGTGTTTTCAGAAGAGATTAGGATCAGGTGACAAACTTCAGTTTCCACGGAGAGAAGCCCTGAAACCTGACGGGATTTGGAATTAAAAAACGAGAAAGGTTTTTTGTAGGGACGTGTGATGTTTAAAGGGAGAACTGCAAGTCCTTGGAATGGACACGTGTGTGATGCTCATGTGGTGTTTCACTATAATGGAAGTTTCGCATTAAAAACAAGGTTATATTTGAGAAATTTGTTTTTCTTTTTTAGAGGGGGGGGGGGGGTTGGTGTTTTCAAAAGTCAAAGGTAACTAAAACAAAACCTCACCTTTTAAGGGGCACTTTTCCTTCTTTGTTAACCATTATCGTCAGCCTTGTGTAACTGTCGCAAAAAAAAAGAAAAAAGAATATCTACAATGAAAGACAAAAATACATGTACATCTTACTCTTCCTTTTTAGAATGCTGGAACTGCCCAAATGGATACCAATTATTCCAACTCTTTTAAAACTAAATAAAAAATGGCCAGATTTTCTGTATTTTGAAACACTCCTCTCAGTGGAAAACTCTACTATTCCAATGACACTCACATTTTTTCCAAAAGTTTATACGGAGAGGGATACTGGGCGGAACGATGGTAACCGATCTTCAGAATCATGTCTGCCCATTCCTGCAAATAGAACAGAGAAGCAATGGAGTTACATGTACATGTATGTACAGTGCAATGTACGCATGTTTACGTCTAAAACGTACATGTACATACCTTGTACATGTACATGTAGTTAAATTGGATATTAAAAAGAAATAGGTTGACGGAAATGTACAGACACAATAAAGAAATTCAATTCAGTTTAAGAACATTTTTATGGATGTGGGTGGGGAATTCATTTTCCCCAGTTAATTTATCTAGAGTGTATGGGCTCCGTGCGCCAACAAAAGAGGGCACCCTTTTACCTAGCAACAACGTCCCATGGGCAGGACACATACATTTCGCTGGTTGACGCGCGCGCACCATTTCTTGTGTGTGACGCACGTACACCAGGGGATTTCTACTATGTACACACAGTGCCACGCTTTGCGGCAAAATATTTCAGTCAGGCAAGATGGCGTCGTTCAGTCACCCCCAACTGTACTTACTTTGCCGATGAGGGGATACTTGTGAACAGAGCGCATAGATTTTAACAATATCTGCATGAATTTGCACTGTGTTTTTCCCAAATCTTTTCAAAGGTTTAAAATATCTCTTGTCTGTCACCGTTTTCTTGTAGCCAAATGTGGAGTGCGGTGGCCTCGTGGTCTGGGGCATTGAATTCATGGTCTGCGGGTAATTCTGTGGGTTGTGGGTTCGAGTCCAGCCTGGGATTATGGTACGTGTACTCTTGGGCAAGGCACTTTGTCACTCATTGCTTCTCTCCACCCAGGAGTAAATGGGTACCTGTGAGGGCAGAGATGGTTATTGTGATTGCATTAGCTTCCTTGCCCCTATCAGGCAGCATGTGCGTGAATTGTTTTCGCTGAAAGAACGAACACCTTTTTGTGATCCGTGGAGAGAACTTTAAAATGGTGGTTGTGTTCAAAATTCGGTAACTTGAAAAGTACGTAAGTGATTCAAATGATTCTTGTACTAAAAGAAAGCTTATGAATTGGGCTTTCATATCCTAGATTTTCAAAGTGCTACATGAAAAACTTCACTAAAACAATAGTCCCAACATTTGGGTTTCGATTTTTTTGATTCACCCTGTACATTCATGTTCACACTTGCTTTTGAGCTGCTTATGAACCGGCTTTAATAAATACATGTAGGTTTACAACACAGTCAGGGGAAAAAAAGCTTGGCATTAACAACTGGGAAAAAAATAAAGAAAAGTGAGTCGTGGGCATGATGGGTCGTTCCCTCCCCCTCCCAAGCTGCTAGTCGCCCCTCCCAGTCCCGAGATGTTTCTGTAGTATTTATTACCCATTTGCAAAACAAATGAAATACATACATGTACTGGTTAAGGCAAAGAATTCAATAATGCAAATGCAATTAGGAAGGCAATTAGAAATTTAACTCTTGTGTCGAGAAACATTAGATTCTGTCCAAGGTGAGGAGTAAATAAATATGTTATCCCATTAACCTGAGGGGGGGGAGGCATTGCAAAATCCAACTCCACTCATCAATTTTCAATTTTGTGAATTCAATACCAGTTACAAAAGAACACAAAACTTGGAATTTGAACCCAGAATTTAATACACTTTTGATGTACATGTAGAACTCTTCCTTCACAAAGAGTCGGCAGCATGCCTCTCTTGTCACATTCACTTCTCGTATCACATCCGTGGGAATGTTTTTGATGAATAAGGGCCAACGTCTGCAGCCAATTAAAGTGAGAATTTGTGAGAGGGCAGTGTGCGATTGGTTGTCATTTTTTGTTCTTACATTCGTTTTTGTTCTGCCTGGTTTTTTTTATTGGACGGCAGTACTGCACTGGGGAGTGGGCTTTCAAACAAGAAGGTGCCGACAATTTGTTTGGACTTTTTGTTGAGCGTGTAGCGACTTGTTCCACCATGATTGGACATTATTCAGCTGCCGACTTGTGGGAAATGAACAGCACAAAGACGGCCAACCCAGGCGCAAAGAATGCCGGTCTTCCTGGGCCATGTGCAGTCAGTCTTCCCCACAGGCGGAATCAGTCTTCCCCATGCGTGGCTTTACAATGCGCCAAATTTGTTTTCTTGCATGTGAAGCCACGCGTGAAGCCTGTCTCCGTCATTCCGTCAGTGCCGCTATGAAATAACACTGCGGCGCACACACGTTAACCACGCTCTAACCACGATTGGTTAACACGCTATCAGCGCGCTAAACCTAGCTAGTGAAAAAATGTAAATATTTTGCGTGAGTCCAGATTCTTTCACACCCAGCTGTATGTTTGATACATCTTCTTCAATGGGTACAGTTATATTCCATTTGAAGTCCAACTTCAATTATTTTTTAACTCTCATTATAAATTTTTACCGGTCTTGTAATTATTTTTTATTGTAATGCATACAGTTTTAATACCTCTGTCTATTTTTAAAATGTTTTCAGTGTAAACCCGCCCACAATTCAGCCTTCGGGCTGCGACGGGAGAGTAAAATAAACCATTTAATAAATAAATAAATAAATAAACTTTCATCTCTATACTAAAGTTCTTCTTTATTGAAACTTTTTTCCTATTTACAACAATGAAACAGAATGTTTTTGTGCATTAATTAAATTTAGTTACTCTCAATTTCAATTGCAAATTTCAATTTTCAAACTGGTTTTTTTTTTTTTTTTTTGAACTAGGATTGACAAACTACATCAGGTCTGGTGAAAAGTTTTAGTGACTATCACAGCTGTGTTGTCTAGCAGTTTTTTAACGATACTCGAGCGCTTGCAAATGTCCAAAACCGAATTTTCTTCTCAACAAAACTGTGCAAGAAAACAAAGGAAATCAGAAAACAAGTGATGTCAATTGACAAATTTCAAATAAAATAAAATTGCACAGCAAAATCACATTTTTTTGTTTAGTAATCTGCCAAATTTTGCACAGTAATAAAGTAAAAATCGCCTCACAATTTTGCAATGTGAATCACGAGAAATTGCTCACTAGAGCCGAATGCAAACTCCCATGTCCACATGTTATAATCTAGTCTGGAATGTTGGTTTGTTTTATAATGTCATTAGCTAAGAACAACCTGGGGCTGAACACGAGGCAACTTCTGACTTCAGCACAACACGGGCCGCAAGACACGTGCTTCTCCTGATATTTCACTACTTGGGAGTGTGCGTAATTAGCAGAGGACTGACAGAGGCTGCAGGGCCTAACACAAAGGTCTTGCGACCAAAACCATTCTTATGCCTTCAATGGTCGCTAATTTGATTTCCAGAAATATCTTTTGATGAAAAAATGAACACATACATTGTGAGGCTGAGAGGAGATTTAAGAAAAAATCTGCTCATCTTGTGATAGGTTTTGTACTTCTGTACAAAAATATGAATCTCATGCAGATCTGCTGGCTTTATTAACACAGGAAATTTTTATGAGACGGATGATTTCAAAGCTTGGAATGCAAAATGTTTGCACAATTTCTTTTATTTTAGATCCTCAAACCTTTAGTTTTTGATGCTGAGCTCAAATGATATTTTCAGGCATACTTTACCTTTAAAAAATGTGAATTAAGACGCACTGAATGTTTTTTTTTTTTTGTCTGATTTTTGGGATGGATGAAGAGATATTGATTTGTTCTTCAAAATTTTGGGGGGAAATGGAATGGTCGTGGCCATTTTTGAAAATTGATATTACAGAATAAGGATTGGGAAGTACAGCCCAGTCACTATAGAGTCCAGGTGTGCCACGTACTCTGGTTCACGCGCATAGCTCAAGTGTGCGAAGACATCAGCATGCGGACCAGCACGTGAACCAGCAGAACAAAGACAGCTGACGTCAGATTTTGCGATACTCTACATGTGCACGTACAGTACATGGAAGCTCAAAAATGTCCAATATGAGTCTTGCAGGATTTGAGGGAATCATGATCGTTGCTGACAAATTGCTTTTGGGTGATATGGTTCAATTCGGCCTACAACAAACCTACTAGGGCTGCTCCGAATATACCGAATATTCAAATATTCAATCATCATCTGAATATTCAAATAGCTTTCTGCTGTTTTGGTAGTCGAAACATAAAAAACTATGCATGTACACACATGACTGTGCTGTTATTTTAATCGTAAAGTTGATGTGCTTTATTGTCAGATGCCACTTTTTGTTGACAGTAACTTTTTTGGGTGCCGGTGGTTCATTGTTCCCATCCTTTTAGCAGGTTAAAGCCACAGTTATAAAATACTGCAAAACACTCCTGCGGCCCATAACATCGATTGCCCCGCACAAATTTTAACCGCTGCGCAACTCTTGACAGGTGCGGCATTCAGTTGCAGCTGGCATGTGTAAACTTGACTGCCGAGTTTTGAATATTCTAATATTCGGTCAAACGCTGTTTCAAATAGTCAATACAAAATTATTTTAACATGGACAGCCCTAAAACCTACTGTTGAATGCCAAGATCCAAGGTACGGTAATTGACTTTCTGTATGCCAAGAGAGCCTCTAGCACAATGCCTACACAAAATATTACAGTCATTGGCAGGATAAAAATCAACCTACACACCTATGGTAAAAAAAAACCTCTTTCTGAGAAACACCATGGGAGCAACTGCTCAACAACACCTAAAAATCGGCCACTGTTATACATATCAGATACATGTTGTTCTCGCCTTAAGGTGATTCATTTGCGAGAGAGAGAGAGAGAGAGAAGTGTCTTAGCACTTTTTTGTCGAGATGAAATCTGAAGACAACAGGCCCGGCTCAAGTGCCCCGGGCTGGGTTGTTACCATGCGGGGGATTTACGGGTTACAGTCGAGTTATGATTACAATGTTTTTCATCATGCTGGATGGTAATCCCCTCTCTTCCCTCGCAAATTGATGTCGCACCTGAAAAACATGTCTAGGGATGCGAGCCGGCAACACGTAGGAGGAGACGAGAGAGAAGAGTAAAAATCACAAAACGAGGATGATGACTGGAAAACCTTCTCGTTCATCCACTCAGCGAAATTAGTTCAGACACCCAAGACGAATCAATGCTGTGCACGTGGGTGCAGCAGACCGGT